ACCCCCCGTTTTCTTATAAAAAGACCATTTCATATGGAGGGTACCCTACCCCATTTCATAAGGCCTATCTGGAAGGGGATGGTCCACCCACACAGCGACGAGACCGTCTACAGTCCCATGGCACTTCCTGAAAGATTACGAACCTGGACAATGCTTCTTCTGTTTGTCGGGTCAACATCCAAGAAGAACACATCTTGCGCGGATTCCGTGCACCAGCGGGCTTACCTGTACGCTTTGATGTCTCTTCGTTTCTGCATGGTCTTGGATCCTGTGGCCTAACAAGGCTGCCACAATCAATCCAATGTGGCGGCTTGTTCGGCATGTTTCAGGCGTCTTTTCCCTGCTGCAAACCGATCGAGCCTAGGATGCTGTTCAGGTCGCCTGGTGCGAGCATTAACGGATGGGAATCGCTACAGGCCATCGAGAGCTTTGCTCTGCGAAAAGCTGTGACCTTGAATCCGCCAATTGCGGGCTTCAATGTCTAAAGAAATCTTCTGTAAAGAACCCCATTGTCTGCTGAACGTGCCGTCCAAAGGATGAATTTAATCGCCCAAGAATGCATGAAACTGCATCTATATGAAGCGCAGGCATCACTTGTCCTGGATTGTGTGGCGAAGAACCTTGGACTAGCAGCTGGAGTCTCACATACCCCGGCCTTTCAGACAAAACTCAGTTGTCATAGCACGTCGTGACCGATTCGTCCTACCCGGGCCCTCTCCTTCCTTGAGGTACTGGGTCTTTGGCAGATTAGAGGCAAAGGGCCATAGGGATCCATTTCTTGCAGCTGCTTCTATCTTCAAGCAAAGGTGTCTGGTACAAGTTCTTGCTGTTCGAAGCATAGGAACCTCACAAAAGCGATAATGCCGAAGTGTCGCAGATTGCTTTGAACCAGACCCAGCTGCCACTTGCATGCCGGTCGGTCGCCACGCCTACTTCCAGAGACATCGCCCTTCCAAACGCGCAAGCCCGACCGGACGGTCACGATATGCTTTGGATTAAGCAGGCTTTGAAGTGGCCTTTGCAGGCTGAGGCCGTTTGAGTCCAGCAACTCGAACCGCAACCCGGACCTCGCTCCCAACACCACGCCCAAATCTCGGAGCGGCACCGCTTGCAGCCAGCTTCCGGCCGTCTCGTCACTGCCTTGCGCAGGACGCCACTGTGCCTGGTCGCAACAGAGATGATGTAAATCTTGTACAGCCTGTTACTTTTTCACTCTGCAGGGTGTAGCAGCAACAAACATAAGTATGCCGAGGCATTACGTTTCACAGTGGTTGCACACTACATTTGCCGCACAAACGTTCTTCCATCTTTTGGAGAAGGTATCGCAGTAGGTAAGGCCAAACTCCTAAGCCTCCTTTCCCATGCTTGCCGTTGGAGTGGTGAGACTCCTTAGTAGGGACATGTAGTGAACCGGACATATTGACATGTTGAAGCCCTGAAACAAAGGGAGGTAGTCAGCAGGCGTCTGCACCAGGCTTCCTGCCTCCAGCAAGCCGTCAGAGCGCACTTGAACGAAGCATGCCTTCGACTTGCAGATAGGCACGGAAGAATCTTTTGCAGTACTCCTTTAGCCGGCACGGTTTGGGGCAACCGGAAAAGAGTCAGAACGGAAGCTTTAGACTCTAGACAATCTATGAACTAATTTGGCTCGCCCTCGCGTTTCAAACCTCGACAGCACGGTTTTGTGGGTTTGGCGCCTGGTTTGATCGAACTTCCAAGGAGCGCTAAACTTCCGCTCAAAATGGTGCTTTGCTTTTGCGCATTGCGACCATGACTTTGTCCCTGCCAGCCCTGTGTGATCATGAACATGTCGCAGCCCGACAGCAAGCTTGTTATGTGCACTGCTGAAGGCGTGTTTCTGGTTTGCTTAAGATTCACAAGGGCTAAGCCGCTCACCTGCAAAGTTTTCTACCGCACGGTGGCTCATCCGTTGCAACCGCATGGACCGCGCGTGCGGTCTGCATCTTAGCACTGAAGCCATGTTTCCCCGGCATGCCGAATCAACAGTTTTCATCCTGAAGCGCCTCGGGCGTCTCGCCGGCTGCAAATCGATACTGACCTCGGGGAGAGCTGGCTCCCAGGTGGTTGCTTCGACCTAGCGGACCTAGCTTCCCAAAAACTTTGTGAGAAACGCTGTTGTCGAAAGAACCGCGGCGACGTGTATGTTACCATGATGCTGGAGTCAGCGTCGAAGCTGGCTGCAAGCAGGTGAAGGAGCAAGTAGGGAGTTGTGCTCCCGTGCTTTTCCGGCACTGTGATTGATAGATAGTCATGAAAACGTCAACAGAAAACAACGAGAACTGTTGTTCGCATTGCAGAAGCAGTACTCTCGTTGTGTGTGTGTACGTTTTGTGGACAAGATGGCGTTGGTACATATTCAGATTTCACTTCCCATCTTCACAGCGAAAAAAACTCTATTCTGCTTCTATTCTCTCCCCTGTTACTGGTCTATTCCTAAACACTACCGCCCCTGTCCTTGTTGTTGTTTCATGGGTTTCGAAATGCCAAGGCCAGATAAACAGTCTGAATGGAATTGACAGCCGCCAACAACACCATTATGCCTACTGAACAAGGGTTTATGGCATCAGCAATCCCGTGAACCACTTCTTCCTTGGCAAAACGACGGACAACGGGCTCCAAGTTCGCCGTTGCGAATCGATACCAAAATATGAAACCGCATAGCCACATGGACTCGAGACACCACATTAGCCTCACAGAAGAATGATGGACACAGCGTGCCGCTTATAGTTCATGAAAGAGACTCATAGTGGCATCGAGTGAAGCAGAAGCCATTTTGGCCTAAAGCCTGAGCCCTAAAACCCTAAACCCTTAACCCCAGGCCCTAAACTCCTAAACCTTAAACCCCACACAGGGTTCCAGCAGTCAGCAGCTGCGAGGGAGTAGCGGACCTTTCCACCAAAGATTCGAACAAGGTAGCGCTACGTGCTCGAGGTCCGGAGACATCGGCCACTGTTAGTTGTGGTCATAAGCTTATGGTTTCAAGACCCATTTCTCCATCCCTAGATCGATTTAGGGATGCCAGCCCGTCGGACTGGGAGCTACAGGGATAGTTGGGAGCTTAGGCTTAGGCATGAAGCGGCTGTATACTTGAACTTAGCGACTTCAGCTGCTTTGCAAGACGTGACATCGTTGTGCTTTGAAAGAGTACAGGTGATCCTTGTCTGCTGGCCAGGTTTGGGGTGAGCTATTTCTCGAGCATGAACACTCTACCCGACTCTACCCCTCCATCAGTGCCAAAGCCTATAAATCTAATCTTCACCTAAGGATCCTCTAAGATGCTCTGATAGTTTTCCTTCTCGCAAGTTTCATGTATTTTGATTTATTATCCATGTCCTCACACCATGGTAGCCACACCATAGTAGACTATCCAAAGTTTGGATGGATGGGGCCGTGGGTGGATTGAGGACAACCTGATAAAGTAGATCCTCAGTATATCGCGACCGGCCTTCGGGCGACGACCTTGTTCAAAGTCCCTCCGGTCGTTCCAATACATGAACCTTTGCCATGGTGGAAGGATAAGGGCGCCTCGTGTAATATGAGGACCTTGATAATTAGAATAGGGTTTTGGGTACGTTGTATTATACTTATAGTAGGGAACCCCGCAATAGTATTGGTAATTATACATGGCTCTTATATTGGCTCTCTAGATCCCTCACAGCTTCATGCTCTTCATCCCCGTTGTTTGTGGCATTATTCGCAACCGCCGGCCAAGGACATGTAGATTCACCTCTCAGTCATAAAGTAGGCGACTTTTGTATCAAGAGTAGGGTTTTGTGACTGTGATGACAGTAGGGACGCAAACGGGATACCTGGAGGAGGCGTCCCCTGTTTCTCCGATGGATCACCCACAAACTTACTACTTCTAGCGGCCGGCCAGAACCAGCAGGTTGATGGAACGAACACCCACAAATCTCAATAGCCAACCTGTTAAGTTTAATTTCCTAAATTCCATAGCCTACTCCCGAAACTACAAGCAATGGGGCTTCGAATGACGATTCGGCTCGAACTGCCTGGGGCCAACCAATCTACAGCTAGGTGTGCTTGAATGCGAGGAGCGCAAACCTAGGTGGAACACGCAAAGACCGTGAACCTGCAAAACAACGCAGTCGTAGTACCCTTGTAGCACGGCCTGCAATAGTAATGTAGGGGCCTTGATAATTAGAACAGGGTTTTGGGGTTCCTTATTAAATTATAGTACAGTATACACCCAAACCCTGTTCTAATTATTAAGGACCCTATATTACCCTTACAGTGCCTTTGTTGAACCGGGGTTTCGACTGGGCTCGAGGGTTAAGGATGTGGGATTCGGAATTCACGATTCGGCTGCATCCCGGAGATCTTGATGGCGACTTCGATTCGAAGCCCCTAAGTTCCAATAAACGCGGCAACGGAAAGGGCCAGCCGATAGCGTCAAGTGGCTCGTGGTTCTCCAAGACGACCCACTTCCGAGACCAGTGATGAAACGCACCTGCCGTGTGCGGGCGGGCAGCGGCTTCCGAATCAGAGTTCGGGATGAGACATGCAAGTATCCATGCCTGTTAGACGAGCCCAGAGCATCCGACTCTTCGCGGCTGTGGCTTACCTCTGTACCTGAACGACTGCCTGTCCGAGCTAGCCTTATCCTAGCAGCTTGCTGGAAGCACCGAGGCTTAGCATCCCTTTCCACAGAGACGGAAGACTCCAAGAACTGAATAAGCCCGCAACGCTTGAAGATCCGCTGCAATTTATTTCCAGATCACGACGACTACTACTACTCCAGCTGCTGCTCCTGCTTCCACAGAGATTCTGAATCTAGCACCATGTGCCATCCTCCACCCAGCTACTGCACACGTAACCAATCGAATTCGCTTGGTTGATTCTCTGAGACTGTTATACGTAATTTCCGAGGGAACTGTGAGGTCGAAACTGCATGCGCCCCGACACCATTGCATGCGTTCGTCGTTTCGTGCTCAAAAGCTTCCCGTGTCATTCGGGTGCCGGTCCTGCATCCGCTACACCCGCATGTTGGGGCTCTTATTATTTACACGATAATACTGCCCTACTATCATACTATCATAGTATACAAGAATATAGTATTGCCTCAACCCCTAAACTCCTAAGATGCCCCGACTCCCCCTCGTCCCTTCGAACCTTTCGACCGCTTCTCAAGAGGTCCCTCTCGCCGCTCGGGTGGCGGCAGCCTGGTGTCCTGGACCAGCTTTGGGGCTTTCGACGGGCTTGGCTTTAGGCTCTACAAGCATCTTTAGGCTTTAGGACTAGGAGCTTGGGGGTTTGAGGCTTGGGCATCGGGGGCTTAGACTGATTTTTGGTATTTGAGGTATTGTTTTTTACAAAGACCTGTAGGGGCTTAGGGATTTCAGGCTTGCGCATCGGGGGATTTTTGTCTTTGGAGTCGGCAATGCTATGCCAGGGAGCCACGACAGCACCAGGTCGTAGTCTCGATGTTTAGGGGACATCTGCTACGTCTGAACGGACGTTTTGCTTGTTGGGCACCGGCCTCCTGTCGGGTCACGATGCCCTTTGGCACCTCGGCTTCTTCAACAACCAGCTTTCACCCGACAGTGGGTCTTCCCAGCTTCACGCATGCTTGTGGGCGAGGGCCAGCGGCCTTAAGCCCCAAGGCCTCTAAAGGCCCAAGTAGAGTTAGACATGATCAGAGCTAGTCCAATTGAGCTCTCCACCCAGCGCTGCGTCGTTGGCACGCGATCTGGGTCCCAGGCAGGCCTCCCATGTTGCACTTTACGAGCACGTCTTCTGTACTCTTTCTAGCTGCTGAATTGCACACACTGAGAAGCCGTCTTGTCGAAACGGACCCAGATCTGGATATCACCGGACAACAAAGATTCACTTGCAGACTTCTTTAAGCATGCACGGCATTGCTGAAGCTAATGACACTCACCACCTCCACCAATGCTCTTAACAAGCTTCACCCCATCACGACCGGCAAGAAAGCCCGTCGTCACGCTTGAATGGAACTGGCGACAAAGGCATGCTTAAACTCCTAGGTTCGATTGCCTGGATCGAGGACCCTAAAATCCGAAAAAGCCTCGAGGTTCTAGCCCGTAAACATACTTGAAACCGCAAATGCCCGAAATTTCCAAAGGCGTAACAACCTTAATCTCCTTAAACCCCAAACCCCGTCGGCGCCAGAAGCGTAGAAGCAACTCTGCCGGCTCGCCGCCGGAGACGGGCTTCAGGCCTGGCTCTTTAGGTTTCTATCAGGTTTAGGGTTTAACAGTTCAGGGCTTTAGGGGGTTGGGCTGATGATCGCAGCATTTTGGGCAAGTTGTCCAGGATTTAGGGTCGTGCGATTTCAGACTTGGATTCGAACAGTGATATCTACAGGAAGCTGGAGTGACATGTGTAGGAAATTCCCATGTCTCAGCATGAGACATTGACATCATCTTATTCTTCTCTCGAAAGTCTGGGGTTACAAGTATTCTTCTCCAGTCGCCTCTGGTGCTGTGCCTTCGGGAACAATGGAAATCGGGATCACCGTGGAGCTTCCTTGGTGTTAGGCCAGCCTCTCTCTATACTATCCCCAATTGAAAACAAGGTATAGAAACCAGAAATGTACCTTTGGAGGTATCATTCGACCTTTGTTTAGTATCAGAACCCAACACTCTAAACCTGACCTGAATAAGACTATCACAAATGCTTGCTCTGAACACTTAGGTCCTGAGGACCCCTCTTTGTGAGGTATTCCTTGACGTTTAACTGGAAAGCCCAAGTCGTGTCTGGGCCTCCTGAGCGTCACCTGAGAGCCTGGCCGACGCGCAAGGGCTGACTGGGCCGGATGCGACAAGTGACGCCATCGAGCGCCGCCAACTCCTTCAAGAGCCATTGGGGTTTACGGTCCAAGGTCTGGTGAGATGACATCTTTGTGCTGAGGCTTTCGAGCTGTAGGTCGTGACTGTCTTTGGAAGATGGACCGAACCGCGCAAAAGGTACTAGGCATGTCATAGTCAGAGTGCCGTTACAAGTGTCAGGCACTGCCGTTGGTGAGGGAACCCGAATCGCCAAGGCCTGGAACAGTACCAGCCTATAATAGGGCTACCATAAAGGGCCTTGTATATCCATTTTATGAATATTACTCAACTGTTACTGAGTGGGGGGAGTCTCCAACCTTTAACCACTTTAACCCTAAAACCTCGGAGCACAGCCCGAAGAGTCCATGGGTCCATGCCACCGTCAGGGCCCCTCCGACATCACGGAGAGGCTGTGGGAGAGTACTTGGTTACAGTTCACAGAACTTCGGGTTTAGGAGGCTGATTCTGACTTGTGGTCCAGTTCCCTTATTCGGGTGACCTGGTGGATGCCTTCAGTTCACCGAATCCCAGGAGGTTAGCCCTGATCACGAGCAGCTCGGAGCTTCCCCGTGCCTCCGGGTCTCGTAGCAGCTTCGCGACCTGGGCCAAGACCTGAAGAGAAGAGAATGTAATGTACTCTAATGTACTATACTATAGTCTTTATAGTATACTTTACCATAGTATACAAAACTACGCTATTCTATGAGAACTATATTGCTATTATGTGTCGAAAGAGCTTCTTAGACTTCTTAGGGTCACATCCACAGCTGGGCGAGAAGTCTGCTTTGGAACAGGCATGTGCCGTTAACTCGCCGCCACGTTAGATGGTGTCGGAAGGCGCTATCACAGCCTGTGCGGTCAAGATGCCGAGAGTTCGTGCTGTGCCTGGCACGGAAGAACAGCACGGTATACCTGGGCACCCAGTTTGAAGCATGCCTCGCGCTTGCAGGCAATATGCCGCGTTGCTGTCTGAAGTCACTGACGCTATGTTGGCATGCGTGCTGCCTTGTCGGGCAAGTGTGGGGGTGGGAGAAGGTGGCCAACCAAGAATAGGGTCATATGACGCAACCACAAAAATCGTAAATAAATAAGTGTAAATAAACATAAACAAGCACCTACATATCAAGGAAAACCAAGCTCCGAACGAACAACGGACTAACACACATCTAAACATACATCGTGGCGTGCTTGTGGTGCCATCCGGACTCGCCGGGGTGTGCATGGCCACCCACGCTCGTTCTCCAAGCTCGTCGATGCATACAGCATCGGAGCGGCACTTAACCCCTTGATGCCAGTAATGTGAGGATCCTTCCAAGCCTTATTCTGATGAGCCCTACACAAAGCAACCCCCGTAAGCCTTAGAAGCTCACATAAAACCTATAAACCTTGAGACACCACAAGATCAACGCTAATCGTAAAGGCCCAGTAAATCTTGACACCACGGAAACGATGGAAAGGATGTCTAGGGTGTTCTATTCTTCAACACACTCCCTACTTCCGCCGAAACACCAAATCCTGTATCATAATCCTTTAACCCGCAATTCTTTGCAGCCGGAGCTTCTGTCTCCGGATTCGTTGGATCGCCTGTGGCCAGGCTCGGCCGTGGGTTTTCCAGCTTGACTGTCATGCGTAGTGCTGGTTTCGATTTTGCTTGAATTTTGTATCTCGGGCCTGTGGGAGTTTGGAGGGGCGCAGATCACAAGCACTAGGTAACGCAATGTGATACAACACGTATGCTGAGTTGTTGCACGACTGCAGGGTCACAAGTACAACTTAGTCACACAGTCTGAAGGCTAGGCCATGAACAAGAAGCCGAAAAGACAAAGGTTTTTTCCCTGTGAACTTCCTTTTTGACAGGGAAACCACCCTGCCTGAGAGCGCACAGTCCTGGACTTCAACCACGACATCCTTGGTTGCTTCGGCTGGCAGGGTTTCATTGTAGGAGTCCCACGAGGTTTGAAAGGATTTCATAAAGGTTTGTTACTTATGAAGGGTCTAAAAGACTTTATATGGTTATCTAGCTTTACAAAAAGCCGAGTTAGCTCAATTAGTACAGTAATGCGTTTTCGACGCTCGCACTCGCACGAGGCAGGCGCGGCTCCAGGCAATCGAAGGGTTTTTAGGCCGGTCATACTCTCACAGACTCGAGGGTTTTGGAGATGTTTTAGGCTTAGCATAGTTTCAGGCTGTTCGGATTCAGAGATTCAGAGATCTGCTCGAATTGCAGGGTCCCGGGGTAGTTTGCAGGCACATAGGGTGCTTTCGCTGGCAGCTGGCAGAGGGAAGGCAAGCATCCTTGTCAAGCCTAAGCCCTAAAGCCTAGTTGACTGCGGCCGAGTGTCAGCCTCGACCAAAGTCTGCGTTGGCACCCACTTCACCTGACAAAGTGTGAGTGGGTGCCGCATCCTCACAGTCTCTGCCGAGTAATATAGGCGTCATTAGTAAAAATATTGTGATTCATCTTCTTATTGCAAAAGTTATTCTTGTCACCAACATGGCAAAATTTGGCGGCGACGTACTTTACAGGTCAGCCTGCACCTGGGAGCCCTTCGGAAGGATGGCTTCTTCTAATTTTCCAAGCAGCCCAGGGAAATTTTGAGGGCTTCGACTCTCCCGACTCGCACAAGCAAGCAAGGCTCTACACAGTCCGAATCACCACAGTCTCAACAAGCTGAGGTTTAGGGTTTAGGGGTTTAGGGTTGCTCGGAAGCTGCCCGATGGGCTTGTCAAGCGAGACGCGACAGAACAGAAACTATGTAAAAAACTCACCTAAGCTGCGGATTACATCCTAAACCACCGAATTGAAACCGCGAGGACAGCCGCCTGGAAGCCTGCATGTGCAAGCTCAGCAAACAACAATTAATGTAGACCGCCCTGGTTAATCAACTCCCCGCCTTTTTGGTTCTAAGCTTCATTATCCCTGTGTCAACCAGCTGTAAGGTAGGTAGGTTTATTCACCGGGGGTCTACATTCTACATTATGCGACGTGATGAGCCTTGACATGCGACCGAATCAGGAACTACAGACTGTTCCCGTAAACCCAGAGCCCAGGAATGTGCAAGAAATCCAAAGCCCCCTAAACCCTGAAGCACTGCATTCCTAAATCCCCGATACCAGACCCAAAGCCGTCGAAAAAAGGGGCCTCGACAATTACAACAGGTTTTCGGGTCTTTAAGACTAGAACTAGACAGGGACTGGTATCAGACCCCTATATCAGACCCGAAACTCCTTAGCCCTAAACCTGTATAGAACCCAAAAAATGCCACCACAGAACCATATAGAAGAACGATAAAACCCCCGATGCAGTCCCTGGAAGACCTGATAAATTCCCCACGAGGCCCAAAGAAAATGCCGACAACACCCTACAAAAACCCTATACATAAACCTCAGAACCCCAAAAACTGCACCCAAAACAGGCGCAGCTCAGGCCTCGTTGAAGGCAACCGAGCCGTCGCGCGTGAGGCGCCCGAGCTTGGAAGCCTTCGACCAGCGGCCTTGCCGATGGATTTTGTTAAGGCAACTGTTAAGGGTTTCGGGTTTAGGGCTTAGGGTTTAAGGTCTTTCTTTCCAAGATTTCCTTCATAGGGTTCGATAAGGGTTCAGGGTTTGAGGGTTCCGCCGTGAGGGTAAGGGTTTGTTCATGGCTTGTTCGAGGGGATATCACCCCAAACCCCTAGAATTTCTAGGGTTCAGGGATGCTAAAACTGAGGATGCAAGGCCAACTTGAATCGCTAGCTGCAATGACTCTCTCAGTTCGAGGTCGCGCCGGCAAAGCGCTCATAACCCGAAACTCAATCTTGGCTTTTTGGATTTAGGATTACCGGCTGCAGGCTTCAGTGCTTAAGGAGCAGCACATTGAGCAAGCAGAATAGAGAAGCCTAGCGGCCTCTGGCCAACTTATCACGAATGCACATGGCTTGACAGTAGCTGTAGGCTTTGGATGGGTAGAGAGGCTTCCCAGTTTCTCAACTTTGCAGCAATTATGGTGGCGCTGAGGGGCGGCTTCGGGTAATCCTTCCCTGTGTGTCCAGCTTAAGACCCAATGTTGCGGAGCTTTCTGAACACATTTGCCCAGTTGTGTTTTTTTGGACGCCTTGGCCTACCAGTGCGGACGGGAAGTGTAGCAACGTGACACATGCCCCAATGATGCTCGGTGAATCTGCAAACTTGGACAGCGAGGACCCTGAGACGGTGACCTCCACTGCCTTGTGCCGAGAGCTCGACCTCACTCAAGGATTTGCGGCTAGCCAGCTTTTGATGAGGACGTCATGCAGGTACCAGTTGTCTTGCTGACTATCGTCTGTCATGTCCATGTCGTGTTCAGCCGATGAATATCTCTGGCCAGTATTCTATACCGAACATCTCATTTTCGTGAGCCACTTGCAGAATCACCAAGCTATGATGTCCTGCACTTTTAAGGCCTTTGCCCGCTCAGTTTGTCAACAATTTCCGACAGAACTTTCTATGACATTTCGACATGAATCCGAACCGGTTGTCCTAAACCCTGAGAGCACCACATATCCAAACTCCGAGCCTTCTGACCGCTAACTACAAAGCCCGGGATTGCAGCTGTAGCGGCTCGATAGGTAGCGCCACGCAGCCTTCGGCTCATCACCGCTGATGTACCGTAAAAGCCTCACGACGAAGCCCCTCGTTTCAATTGCAGCTGCTCTCCACCCTAGCAACCACGGCCGCGCTCTCTCTCTCTCTCTCTCTCTCTCTCTCTCCCTCTCTCTCTCTCTCGCTATGTATCTAGACCGGCTGATGTATACACATAGTATATAAACCAGTATAGGCATACAAAGAGTTTGTGGGGTGGAAACACCAACTTCCACATATATATATATGTATATATATATATATACATACATACATACATACATACACACGTATATGTATGTAGGTATACAGGCATGAAGGAGGTATGTAGGCACGTCGGCATGTTGTGTATGTGTACAGCTTGCTCGCAAAGGCTCCCGAAACCGCAGACCCGAAGCTGGTGTCTGCCACGGGGCTCTCGACAGTTGGGAACTCCAACGCCTCCAAGAAGACCTTCGAAGAGAGCCCAATACCCCTTAATTAAGGAATATACCTTAAATCAGCATAGTAAGGCCCCTATAATTATATTCCTTTATTACGGAGTATTGGGCTCTCTGGGTTCTGCAAGGCACATGGGGGTGCAAGGCTACACGTTGGCCATTTTTCCGTTTTGGGGTTCTGAGTGCTTCTGGGCTTCATGAAATGGAGGTGGTCAAGACAGCAAGCGACGCGCCATACCAGTTTTTCTCTGGCTTGCCAGGGTGGCAGCAGCCTGTTTCGGTGAACAAAGACATTTCAAGCAATAAGCCTCTGGAAAGGCGCCGTTTGCAAAACGCACGATGCCTGATCCAATAGCCCCCCTCCAATGAACCGCTCCATGTCAAGGGAAGATGCAGCTAGGCGGCAGTTATCCGCGGCGAGAACCTGGGCAAGGATACAGCGCAAACATTTGGCCGGAATGGGTTTGGAACTTCGGACGTTCAAGCGGCATAAAGTTTAAAAACGTATCTGGCAATTCTGGCATGCGTGCTTGGGGTCACTGGCACTCGATGTTGCTGCAACCTAGGCCTTGAAGCCGAGGTGAGGGGAAAACCGGAGCTGGAGCAAGAAGTTCTCGGTTCCTATCGCTGTTGCTTCGGCTCCTGAAGGTACTTGTAGCTGTTGGGTGTAAGTCTCATGGAAATTCCTACTGCGCTCGTGCAATCGAAACTTTACTGGGGAACCCTCGCATCATATAGCCCGAAGGGCCAAGCCCAGGAGCGAGAGAACGGCAGTTGAGGGGTGATGGTCCCGAAGCTTTCAACTCCGGGGTTTGGCTTAAGGTTTAGGGTGTAGGGTTTAGGGATGGAGCCAACCCCTAAACTCGTACTTGAGCACCCATGGCTGCTGCAAAAACTCGGTCGTCGGACTTGTGCACCCGGCTAGGCCACTTGTAAACACAAGCAAACTACGTATTTCCCCTGCATCTACTTCTAAATCCAAAACCCTACATTTCTTCCTAAACCCGGACCTTAAACTTTTTAACTTATAAAGCAGCTTACCGCTCATGTCAAGGGGAGGCGCTCGGCACCCACCAGGGGGACGAGTTTGGTACCGCTGGGCAATCCACGGGGCTCCCGTCGCCGCACGATCCTGAGACTCAGGGGTTCCTGAGTTTTTGAATTAGGGGCCTTGCTACTTAGAACAAGGATTTGGGGGTATAAGGCACTAGAGCTCTAAAGCATAATCTTTGCTGGTTTAGGATCGTGATGCCGGCAAGCTTTCTGGAACCGTAGTACCTTGGGGTGGGGGAGGGTTGAGGACCTCGTGGCAGTTCCCAAAGTCTTCCACCTGACATTGGTGCAATGGCATCCACCCGGAAGTTGCATAGATTAGCACGCTGGCCAGCATGAAAGATGAAGGCACCTTGTCTTGCCAGCTGCACGGATTTGCATTTCCCACAGGCTCAAGAATCTCTTGATTGAGTGAGGGCGCTCCAAGTAAGAGGGAATTGAGAGTGGCTAGGTTGTGGCTTGAGCTTGGCCTCAAGCTACGGGCGCTGTCTTACAAGAGAAGTGGAGTGTGTGATGCAAGAATGAAATGGAGAAGGCTTCTTGAGCTCCGGTGCTGCGGGGCTTCACAAAAGGGCTCTTCTGCTGTTCTTGCATTCAAAAATGCAGGCCTTCATCAGCGGACGGATGGAGGAGGGCTTCGAGCAAGCAAGCCGACGAACAAAAATCCAATAAAGAATGTAGAATCCTCGAGTCGGCCTGGTGTTGTCGCATCTTCAAAGAACATTTGATGCCTTTGCAAGTGTACTGTGCATCTCCAGGGGGCGAGCTGATAACTTGATGACCTGTCTTTGGTTACATGGTTCGGCTTGCAGCTTTACTGGGGCCTTAGTGGCGAGTCGCGCCTGTCAATGTGAACCTCGAGCTTTACATAGCTCCCAGGTGTAAGAGTCGCTTTCAAGTGCATGCAGGAGAGCCTGCTGGCCTCGTGATGGCTACCGGGAAAGTGTTGCTCACCTTTATGTCTCTGCTTGCAGCTGAAGATCTGCTCCGCATGATCCCAGAGGCGCGTGGTCGCATCAACGCCCTCTGCCTCAAATACTCAATCCATCCATGACCGTACCTGCAAACCCATCGAGGTCGGCTAGGTAATGTGAGGTTCAAAAGCCCATCTGCAAAGCTAACGTCTTAGCCTTCTCCACACAACCCGCTTCCATATCTCTGCGACCTGGCGGCTACATGTTGCACGCCATGCATGAGTCCGCTGACGGGCTTCGCCACAAGCCTGGCTTCGATGAGAGCAAAGGGCTCTGTTGGCTTCTAGGCCTCAACACGCTCCTAGTGTTCCCAAGTCGTCCGAATCCGCTTTCAGCCTCTGAACTGCTTCCGGCGCTGCGTGTCCCCCGGAACTCTCGTTTCAGAGCCGACTCGCAGCTCTGAGATGTAGAAAGCATGTTTTCTCTGCGACGATCGCCACTGTGGTTGCTAGTTTATACGCTTCCAACTTCCTCTCCTGTCGAATGGTGACGACCGCTACCATCATCTTTCGTGGCGCTCGTCACAAGGTGCTTACGTTCGCAGAACAACTTCTCTTTTACTTTTTGCCTGAACCCGAAATCCAACATCTTTCTCATCACTAAATGTCACAGCGAGCAGCCCTGCAGCGCCCTTCAGCATTCCAGTGGCCAGCCCAACAACTCCTCCGGACATTTTTGTCTTCTAGTCTTCTATGCTAGAAGCTATGATAGGCATCGTGGCAGGACCTGAGGAGATGAGCTGCATCATGGAATTTCTCGGTCTGATCAGGGGGCCGGTGACAAACGGCGTTACCATCAGCAGCATCTATCGTTCGGTGGTCTGGGAGCTTGAGACCACCATAGCATGTCATGACTCTTCATGGTTCTCCGTTTCCCCTTCTTGTTAAAACTGCCACTCCAGAAGTCGTACCCTTGAGGCCTTTAAACAAACTTAGAAGCTGAGACTCACAGGCACTCGCAAGGTCCTTTCCGCTGGAAGCCTTGGACCGGAGCCTGCACGAGGCCGGCGATGCCCGAAGTGGCACCATGCAGGAAGACCTGTCAGAAAGGTCTGGCAGGGCGGTTCTGGGCATAAGAAGTTTGAGAGGGTCCATGCAGCCTTCCCACCGTTTCTAGAAACCCTCAGTACACACTGTGCCGCCTCGGAAGAAGCCATCCTTGGATGCATGTCGGATCCCATCAAGTTTCGCCCGAACTTCCCCCTTGCTCTGAACCCTCTTCGGCACGCCTGCGCCCCAGCTGTCAGACCGTCACCAACATGGTTCACGGAGCCGGGCCTCAAAGGACGAAGACTAGGCTTTTGGGGGAGCCTGGGGCTGCAAAACCCTATGACAGCTCGGGGCGGGGATCCCCTAGAAGCAACATGATATGGGTAGTGCTCTAAATTAGGGTCACTTTTAGGGTCCTTTTTACAAGGGTGCCGTGCAAGATTGGGGACTTAAAAAGGGACCCAAGCTTAGAGAACTGCCCATATTGCCTTCATGAGTAGCACAGAGAATGGTTGGGACATCATGGATTGAGTACAAAAAGGTTGAGCCACATAACAAAGGAGTTGCTCCAACGTGCCGATTCTCGTGCTTCGGGGTTGTTTGCGAGCAGACAGAGTGCTGCGAGTACGGTAAGAGGCAAGAGGCATCGACTTTGTAACCGGTTTTCAGGCGACTCCACCGACATGCCAGTTTGATTTTCGCATTCTTATTGCCAGCAGGATCCTGTAAGTTGGCTAGAGGAAGAATGCGCTGCGGAGAATTGCACCCGTCTAGATTGCATTCTTCCGGTATCTACGGAGCAGGGAAGCAGCAGGTATGTCGACTTGATGGTGCTTGTGACCAAACTCCTGAGATATTGCAGGTGCACGCTGGCTCGCGATGACTCTCCGATGCTTTTAATAGTCTTTTGCTTCAAAACAAAACACCTCGAATCCTACTCCAGCAGTCGCATTAAGGAAAAGTACACCGGCTTTCAGAAATCCATGTGTTAATAATTACTACAGAAATGCAAGGCCTCAAAGCCTACTATCTTGGGACTGGCCCGGCGGCTGGTAGTGGCGATCGCGGTCTCCACCGGTCTGCGCCAATGCATCTACAGTGTCGCCTGCGACAGTGGAGAAGAAACAGCGCCGATCAAGATGCACATTCACTGCATGCAGCTGTGTCAGAGTCGACCCTGAAACTCAACCACGCATTGACGCCTTAAGCCCACGAGCAAGAAGCAAGCCCGGAAGCTGACGGCTGTTCAGGTCAGGTGGCCGAGGGCTCCGAAGAACTTACCGGCAGTTGCTGCAGTGCCACCAACCACTCCTCGCCACACCGTTGTTGAATCGGCCATGCAGCAGCAACATCATCCGGATCCCAATGTTGAAGCCACAGGGAAGTTGACAGGATCGGTCGGACTGCGGCTGGACACTTGCTCACTAAGCCCTTTCCCGACTACAGAACCAGCAGAGAGATGGAATGCAAAGGAACGACAGCACAACTATCATGAGGGCTCCGTCTCTTCGTGACAAGAAGCAGGTCTTTTCTGATGCCAGTGCTCAACCTCAACCCTTAAGAGCAACCCAAAACGGTTTCCGAATCCTGAACCCGGACCCCCCCCCCCCCCCCCCCGCCATCCCGCCGCTTTTTTCGGGGTCCTTGCGCCAGACTAAGGAGCCCCTCCCCCTTGAGATCCCCGGCGATGACCTGGATTCCCCGGCCAATCATGGTCAAAAGTAAGCCTACCCATGCGATACTTGTTGCAATGGTACCATGGTGCCAGCAGTACTCGTCTTGGGCACAACAGTTGCTTTGCAGTTTTAGGTGGCTTAGGCAGAAGGTATGGGTGTCAACATTGCCCATTACATTTACGGGGTGTTCAGCCCTAAGTTGATGAACGTAACAAAGCAGCCAAATACACGCACCGCAATGCTTTAGATTCATTCTTTCTGGAATCGCAACTTGGTTAGATGTAGGCACTGCAAGGAGCAGCTACGTGTTCTTGCTATATGTTTTTGCTCCATCTGCACCCTAGACCAAAATGATTCCACCACCAGAGTCTCAACCCGCCAGAGCTTGCTATCTTAAGCTCGAAAGTCCAAAGAAGGATTCTTGGATAAGTTTCTGGGCTTCCTAGAGGCCTTGTAGGAAAGGCTCGGCTGCAAACGTAGGTGTTCGGGGATCGCAGTTAAGGCTTTTTCAAGTTTTATTGGGGCCAGTCAAGCCTAGGGCTAGGGCTTACGAAGGTTTAGGGTTAGGGGCTTGAGACTTAGCATGTTAGGAGTCTCAAGTCCGATCCAAGCGATTTGAGGACTTTACGGGGGCAGGCTAGAGGGCCATGTGCGAGCTCTTGCCCAGCAGCTGTAGCCTTTCTCTCCTCAAACTGCGAGCTGCTGCTGCTCCTATCTCTTGCCACGGCTGCAAGCTGCTGACACCACTGCCGGCCCCATCCACCACCAATTGCACCACTGATATCACATTCGGGTACTTCCTCATCGCACTGTCCTTGCAACTGTGCTCCTTGATACATCTAACTACGGCCTTAAAGCTTGAAGCTTGGGGAGTCGCCTCGCTGCCCGTTTTTCGGAAGAACTTCATGACTCCGCCTGAGCGGGGGGAGGCAAATTGGAGGGAGCTTTCACTTTCGGCAGATTTCGGCCGCTGTAGCCTCGTTTGAGCCGTCTCTGGGGCACGGAGATGGGCAAACGACTGCAACCCAACATCCACCCTAGCCCCCAGAACAGCAAACCTAAACCCTAGAAGAGCCCGCAGGCGCCTGTGACCGAGGTCGTCAAACCAACCGGATCGCCCAGCAGGTTGATGCTGAATAAGACCTTCCAGAACTGATACCTCAGAGATCCCAGCCCGGCTCTGGAAGTTTGTCGGCTTGAGTTTATGGGGCTCTGTAGTCCAAGGTCAGCATGTTCATGTTGCGAGCTTGCCTCGACATGAAAGACTGCCAGCCTAAGCTCGGGAAATGCAGGACTTCCGCTGCAGGTGACTGTAACAGTCCCAATGGTCGCCGAAATGGCGGAATGCAATGGCAATTGCTTGAACTTCGTAACGGCATAAACTTTTACTCGTCATATTGAAAGAAGCAGGGTGAGCACATGCTGACAAATATGTCACGATGACCGCAGTATCAAAAATAGAAACACTATGATACAAAACCCCGTCCAGGTTCATGCCAGTCTTCACGTAATCCCGGATCAAGCTGTACCTGAGTTGAAGCACAGGAGGCAGCTGCAGGTGGCAAAGTAACCCCGACCAATTCGCCTGGCCTTGTTCCGTCTGAACTCCTTCTCTGGGGAAGATGAGGGACCACCCGAGAGTCATGCTGAATGTTGACCGAATCCGATCGATTGGCGACCCCAAGACACCCTAAATGGACCAGGGGCAGGAAAGGCATCAAATCTTCCAGCGTCCGTTGGAAGACAGTCCTTAAAGCCAAGTAATCGAGATCTGACATTACTGTTTTTTGGCTTTGCGGCTCAGGCGACCCAGTGGTCCAGGGTTCTAGCATTTTTGTTGCATTTCTGAGTCGTTTATCCGTTATAAGTGACTGCAGTACAGACAGATATACTGGGGTTGGCAATAGTCGTGACCGTCGTTATCATGATGAGAAAGCAGTAACTGCGCAGTGGAAATGCATTTGACACAGGCGGATGTGGAGAACAAAAGCCTTTCCGATTCTGTGCAGCTGTAGGAAAGTGGAGTGGGTCGCAGCCACCTTTGCCACGAGTTATTCGTCCCCCGCTCATAACCCTTTTTCAGTTCGGTTTAGGGTTTCAGCGGACATGCCTTGGCGAGGAGTTCAGGTTCGGTTTAGGGTTTAGGGTATAGGGTTTAGGGTCCAAGCCCTAAACCCAACTGAAAACCCTACGCCCAAAACCCATGCTCAACAGCTCCATGCGTCTCAGGGAAAGCGAAGCGCGGCGTCATGTGCCCCACTCCAGAAAGCACGCCGCTGCCAACCTTACTGCGTGCTGCAGGAGTTCATCACAACTTGTTGTAGCTAGCTGCAATGCAATCACTGACAATCATTAAGGCCCTATGGTCTAGCCCACCTATTTAGACTAAAGCTTGCAGGCGTGCTGTTGGCCGCTTCTTCTAACACATGGCAGGCGTGCTTTGCGAAATACTTTGCCCTTGCCGCATGAGTGAGGACGAACACCGATCTACCTGTAATGTGTGATCCATGCCAGCTGCATCCTGGAGCTTTCGGTGATGTCGGTGATGGTCAGAGATGCCGCGCTCCGCTACCCAGAATCTTAAACCGGGTCAGGACTGCAAGTTTTGGGAACTGCATGCATTCCCCAGATTTCAGGCTCCAATAGACTTGGTGGACCGAGAGGCACTCGTGACCACGAAGAGAAGGCCTTTCTGTGCCACCATCAGAACTTTCCTTGGTCGTGCTTTTTGAGGGGAGACTTTCTTACGCTCTGAGGATGCATCCTGCATAAGGATGTTGCAGACCGGCTCGGCTTCCAAACCAAGCAGCGCAGATGTTGACAGCCAACGTTCAAAACAAGTTACAGCCTCAATCCAACTATAACGGCTCTGCCCGATCGCCCAGGCGAATGGGTTGTGCGAGAGGAGGCTTTGAGCTGCCTTGAACCATTCGGACCCAGTAGGATTTAGGTGTTTAGGGAAAAACTCTTTACTCCCTGAATGGCTGCAAAGAGTCTTGACCAGACCGTGTGATCGGTGGGTCAGACGTGCCAGAATCTGGGACAGCCACATTGACCTGGCCAAACACGTTAAAGCACATGTGCGCGTGCTCTTACAAGCCTCTGCTGGCTTGGCACCCTGGTTACGATCATTACAACTTTTCTTCTATGCTTTCGTTCAACGGAGCTCATTCTGACGATCATGATGATACTGCTACGGCGCGGCGGCGACCACCAACCACCACCTAGTTTGCCAATGCTCTTGCCTGCTTTTCTTTCCGATTGTTGTGCCATGATCGGCCGCGCGAGGTGATGTTTGACGTGCGGTGTCCAAAAGCCAGATTTCGTCTGATTGGCTTGTGTTGTTGCCTACACTTCGCTTTCTTCGTATTGTTGCCATCGTTCCCTAAACCCGTAATCGCGGCTATGGTTCCACTGAGGCGACGGGAATCAGCCTCCATATATAGTCCCCAACATACCCTGCTCGGCTCATGCTTGTGAAAAGCCCCTAGACTCCAAGACACGTGCCCCAAGATCAGGATTTAGTGTTTAGGATCGAAGATAACGGGGCTGCGGCATTCAGTCCACAAGTTGTCTTTTGTTTGGAATCGCTCTTACAACCAGCAGAACACAGCTCTGCTGCTCAAGGGGGCTGTGGAAACCTGGTATCCTGCCCCACTGCACTTCCCCGATGCGGACAACTGCCAATGCCCAGTAGTTGCCAGAACACTGAAGCATCTGCGCATCCTGCTCGTCGTCCTCGTCCTCCGACGCAAAAAGTTCTTGACTTAGGACCTAGGATTAATCTGGAGAAATGCAGGAACCTGCTTGAGTGTAACCTCCCCCAGAATCATGATCCAGTTCGGAGCAATGTCCAGAATTCTATGAGGTGAGGTCATCATCAGTAGATTCACAAGTTAATGTCGTCGGCGTGTACATCCATACAAGTGTCTAGGCTGCGGGTTCTGAACGGGCGGAGCTTCCCTGAGGCCTGAGGAGGCACATGATGCTTCCGAACGCCGATCACCAGTCTTGCGCGCTGCACGATCTTGCGAACATGGGGCCGGGTTTCCAAGCGCAAGTTCAAGGTTTTCACGGAAGCCACGAGTCTAGCAAGTCGGTGTTTCCCGTACCGGTCCTCGAACATGGACGAGGCAACACCGGAACTGGCCTGACCGGCTTGCGGCGGCAGTGTAGATTCTTTTGCAACTCAGTGCCTCATGTGCATAGTTCTCAGGCACTCAGCTCCAGTCTCCAAGAGCCCGCGTAGACGGGGGGTTCTTCCAAACACCACTCCGCAAAGTGAGACGCCGGACATGTCATCCACGCACACCGACTTTTTCCACAAGTCTGCGCAACTCAGGTCTGTCCGTCGCCTGTCGCTTCTTCAAGAGCTTGCTCTTCATGGGCATCAAGATCTCAACTTGAGCAATCAGTGCTCCTGACAAACCACGGCTGGAGCACTCCTCTCTCTGCATGCCTCGATGTCAGTCTCTTGCAGAACGCTAGTCACTAGTACCCAATGTCAGGGGATCAAGCTTCACACGAAGGGGAGATCTACACGCGTACATGCGGCGGCTCCTAAGCGGAAGTACTCGAAGTAGACGGGATGGCGAGTGGTTGAGCTGGACGGCACCTCAATGCCTGCGGCAGGGGGATCTGAACAGCAAGCCGGATCCCTGCCAGTGTCCTGTGTACGTCCAAGCCCCAAAAGCCCCCCAAAATCGCCCAGACCCTCAGCCGCCAAAACCTGAATCATACCCTTACACACCACCAAACCCTGAAAGCTCTAGTGACCCGACCCCAGGCCTTGAACGGCTCGTACACCCTTACAGAACACCTTCATATACCTTTGTAGACTCCTTCTCAAACTCTTCGAGAACCCAACGCTTATAGAACTCTTGTAGAGCCCTTACAGCACGTATGTAGAATCCTTCTCAAACCTTTTTAGTATCCTGAATGAACCCCAGGGCTGTCCACTCCTCCTTCGCGAAGGAGAAAGACCTGCTTGGCCACGATCTCACGGTCTTCTGCAGAGCTGCCTGCATTGAACCCACTGTTTTCTTTTGCAACGGGTTTCGGGGATTGAATGTGGTTTAGGGTTTATAGTGCCATTCTTCGGGTTCTCGAATGCAGTTGTGCATAAGACCGCCAAAAAACGTTTCTTAACCTATCACCCCAAGATGTCCCAGGGGATGTCGAAGAGGTTGTGTGGTAGGGTTTCAAGAAACTGCCAAGGGTTTTACTGGGACTGCTTTGAATTAGCCTTGGTGGTATTTCAGGGGCTCATTATCGATCTGAACATCTCTGAACCTCACGGGTCTCTTTTCCCCCGTGCTTGATCCAACGCAGTGGCAGACCTGCTTTCGCCGCCACTCTCTTCGCCACGTAACTTTCCGTCACTGCAAGCGCCCGACCAAAAATCAGATCCGGAGCAAATCACCCTGTGAGGTCTCTGTCAATTTCCCCGCCGAATTTTTCACCGAAGCCACACAGTTCGATCTCCTTCGAGGGTACTCTGCAACCGAGGTAGTCGATGTCTTTATCGTCGTCCTCCTCCTCACCGCTGTATGAGCAAGGTCATAGTTAGCATCATCTATACCATCTGTATATGTCCATCATCATCATCACCACCATCATCATCATTCATCATCAGCTTCACCATCAGCATAAGCCCCGACATTCGGGCCGTCGTCGTCGTCCTCATAATTTCATCCGCGCGCGGTCTATGATTTTAGCCACCAAAGCCCACCCTCCACGACAGCAGCAAAACAACAACGCTTTCAGGCTCGGCCTGCATTCGCCGACCCGCTGTCCACTGTTGCCCACTCGAAGAGCTGTTGGCCCACCTTGACCCAGAACCTCAGTTTTATGTTCGCGTTTCAGGTGAGGTTTAGTGTTGATGGCCTGAATCCAGAACCTGAGACAGGGCCAAGGCCGGGATGCAGCAAAGGGCTTCAGGTGCACAAGAGTTCTTTCTGGCTGGGCTGCTTCAGGAACGGAATCAATTTAAAGCTTTTGGCAGACACCTGTGCGCACCGGCAGGCGGTTGCTGCAAAACAACGTGTGTCTTTGCATCTCGGTGTTGGCATCTTCCGACATCAAGTCTTGCGAAACTGCCTGCGTTTGAACCTGAGCAATCCGTAACCAGCAGTGTTCGGGACGAGAAATTGAAGCAAGCTTTGGCAAATTCTTGCAGCACGATCGGAAAGACCACGTCCCAAACTCTCAGCTCTTGCGTTCGTTTGTTCATAGCACCAGATGCACACCAGAATGACTCACCGGGCCACACCAGGTCCAGCCGAACGATCACCGGCTGGAGCAGCAGGGTGAGCTCCTCCGGCTGGTCTGAGAGAGGACGCAGACGGGGCTCGGGGCCCCTTGTGGGATTGGTCCAGGATTTAGCCCGTAAGGTTACGCTGCGTTAGGCAGCCTTCATTGCATTTGTCTTGATGGATGCCTCCCGGCCTCCCGGAGTTTTGCCTCCCGGAGTTTTCATTCTTAGTCGAAAGACCTCGGCAGCTGCCCTAACCGCAAGTTCGTTGCGATTCTGATCACCTCTACACCTGTTTGACAATAAGGCGGACTTGACGAGCTGCGCTCCTTGAAATGGAGAATTCCGCTTGGCAACTTCTCCATGCCTGTGAAGGCTTCACATGGGAATAGTTGTATACAGCGTATAAGAGATAATATGAGACATTCTAGTAACTAGTATAGTGCAATATAATATAACATAATAATGTGATATAATCTAACATCATATAACATAACGTAACATGACATGACATAACATAACAAAATATACTATGGCTATGGTGAGCTCGAAGCCTGAACAGAAAGGACCAACTCACTAGCCAAGCTGCAGAAGTACACGAAGGGAATCGTCTCCGAATCCTTCGGCATGTGCCAAGCAAGCACAGCTGCTATGTCGCGCAAGTCGTCAACTGCCATGGTTCTGTAAGCTTTCATTTCTCAGGACCCGTGCGCACCTGTGACAGGAACTAAAAATGACGCCAGGACTGAGGGCATAGTCAAGCAAACCCCGAAACCCTCAACAGTCCTGAATCCCCCCCCCCCCTCCAAGCATTCCAGACCAAGACCCTACAATCAGCAACACCCCCCGAAGCCGCGAACACTCTAACTCCGAAAAAACCATGAAATCTAAGATCCAATCAAATACGGGCCGTACTAGATAGACTAGGGTCTTTGGATGTCCAAAAACAAGGAAGCCCTCAGATTAGTACCCTGGAGATGGAATGTTGCCCACGTCGCCGAGGCTCCGTGCTTCCTTTACGGCCTTTGTGCTTGTGGAGCCGCTCTCGGCGATCGCTGTGGTAGCCGCTATCCTGCGGTCTGCGGTAGCTGTAGGCTTCGCTGGTTTTCATGGCTTAGGTTAATTTCAGGTCTTAGCTTTAGTAGCAGGCTTCGAGGCTTCATAGGGCTCCGGTCTAGGGTAGTAAACTTAGGGTTTTTGGCCAATTTAGGGTTCAGGGTCAGTGTCTAGGCCTTAAGGGTTTAGGGTTTCGGGCTTAATCCAAGGTTGAGTGTTTTGAGATTAGGGTTTTTAGAGTTCGGGCTTGCAAGTAAATCCGCAGAGCTCATCACGCATGAACTAAATTGACCACAGCGACAAGATTTCTTCTGAAGACAGACAGGTTGTCAGCATGGGCCCCTCAACCCTTTTACCCCAAACACCCTGAGACCTTAAAACCTTAAACTCTTGGCCACTGAACCGCAACGGCTGCTACTTTCCGGAGACTAAACGGTTTGGGGTCCGATGATTAAGACTTGAGGCTTTGGTGTTTCCAACATCGAGAGTAAGGTTGTTGCAACTACGCGCCCGTCCACTCATCTTCGCACGCAGACTTTGCTCAATCTTTTGTAGAGCTTTCCCCGACTTTACAGAAGCAGCGATGCTTGGTTGCGCTTGGGTCCTCTGGGCACACGATGATGGGGCGAAGCTTGTCTGCCTCCCGCATGTTGTCGANNNNCTCTCACGCTCGGACTCGCCAGGTGAGGCTGCTCAGGTCGGATCGGGACCGGCTGGCTCGGTTTTGCGGTTTAGCATGGTTGCCGCTCTCCCGTTCGCGCTCGTGACACAATCACCCGGGCATCCTGAACAGCCAAATTAAAGAGAAGACGTCAACAGAAGTCGCCAAGACAGCATAGCAAACAGCACGACATCTGTCCACGGCTTTCTCTTGTGCAGCAAGCGTGCAAATACTCGTGACGAGTAGGCCCTAAAACCCTAAAGCTGTCGTGCAAGCTAAGTCTCTGGAAGTGATGCACCAAGAACTTCACCTTCCGCTGGGCACTTCGCTTCAGCAGCCTTGCTCCAGTGGATTCGGGTTCGGCTCTCCGGCTGGAGGGTTGAAGGTTTTGACTCCAGTCATGCAGGAGCTTCAGGTTGACATGTCAGAATCAGATACACGACCGGCAGATCGTTTAGAGTTTAGGCTTCCTTGCTCAGACATGTCGTTTTTGAAAGGTCGTGCCCAACACTAGCGTCATTTTGAATGACCACAAGTGTTTCGTAAGCCCCTTATCGCGTACTACAGTTTGTATCAGCAGCTATCCCGGCTATCCCACAATGTCTCCACCCAGGTACGTAGACCCCATGTAGTAGCGGCGGAAGCAAGCAAGCAAGCAGCACCCCTGTTTATGGTCTCACCGGATAAGTTCTTGCGGCTTCCGGCGGCTGAGAAATATGCGTACACAACAAAAACAGCAGTAGCAGGTGTAACACCTGCACAAATGGATGATGTTTAAGCTGATGGTAGAAGTGGATGCGGCTTCTAACAGATTCCAAAAAGCAAACTTGCCTTGCATCATCTTCAATCAAGCGCCGTCGACCCAGTGAGACAAGTTCCTGCAGCTCCCCACCTACACAAACCGCGGTTCACCCAAACCGGTCTGCTCAGAAGGCTTCTCATACATGCTTATTCTCAAGACCCCTGCAAAGAGGTCCCTCTATTTCTTTCAGGAAAACCCACCAACTCCAGGTGTTTTCGTTTAAAGAAATCATCAGCATGGGAGCTGGACGTGGTCCACGGTCAAAGCGAACTGCTCCTTTCAAGAGGGCTCTCGCGGATAAGGTTCCTGTCTCTGACCCATGGGGGTTGGGCTCAGGGTCGAGGGTAAGGATTCCTGACCCAGACCGCCGTCTTCCATAAGTTCATGCCGAAGATAGATGCAGTTCGCAAGTCGATGCGGGCCATGAGGAACTCGGCACTAATAACCTTAAACCGCACGAGGTATAATGCCACCGGAACGGATATGGAGGTGCCTCTGAAAAGTGTGATCATTCCCGCACTGAGAATCTGCATAGAAAGCCGGATCATACTGGCGAGAACGAGACTCAAGGTACAAACTTGAGGCCGTTTCCCGCAGAGGAGTCTAAAGCACTTGGGGTAAACACAATGAGGGTTGGCGTCATAGTTCCTAAACCCTAAAACCTTAAACCCTAAACCCTTTTTTTTGAACCCAGACTCTGCCAAACCCTAAACCCTAAAGATTGTCAGTGCACGAGTGCCCATGGCGACTTTCGCAGTTCACAAGACTTAGTATTACTACTATTATTATTATTATGATTATTGTCATTATTATTGTTATTGTTTTTATTATTAATATTACAATTATTATTATGACAAGCTGTGAGAGAGACTTCAAAGGACTACTCCATGACGACTTTTCCATGAACAAGCCCGCTCCTCATCGCAAAGAGTGTCCCTCACGTCTCCGCCGGTACCAAGCACGTGGGACCGCACTTGGAACCTAGGGAATTTTATGGAAAGTTTGCTCAAGACGAGAGGTTTGCCCTTCTGTACTCGAAATGTGCGGCAATGCTATTGAAGCGAGATCTTAATTCAGGGCGCAGGGGCTGACGCACAGGAGACCTGAAGCGCGGAGTGCAACATAAATTCCTTCCCTGCTCTCCAAGGCTCCTCAATGCGAAAACGGAAACAAGGTCTGCGACGGGAGCTCCGATTCGACCCCCCGTCGATTAAGATCAGGCAAAAGGCACCAGGGCGACTAGGGCAAGGCTTCGGAAACCTGGCTCTTCGAGTCGAGGCCTGAGCCCCAAACCTTGAACAACTAGAAATTTTGAACCTGAAACTCTCAAAATAAAGCTCTAAAACCGCCTGAACCTCTTGTCTTCCCTAGGGAAGCCAGGGTCCCCGCACGAAATTGATATGCGCTCCCGACAGCTGCACGTCGATGTCCCAACCTTCGCTGGGCTTCGGAGGTTGCCACCACTTCCTACCACAAAGGTGCTAGCGTCTAGAACTCAGGACCAGGATACCAGTGGCTCGTTCTAGACTGATGGACAGTTTTCGTTTGGACTTCCTAGAGTCGAAGGCAAATCCACGATCAACGGAAACCTGGCGAGGCAGTCTGCACATCCACTTCTGCAGGACTTGCACGGATTGCACGATATGGAGTGTCAAGGACATCGCGAACTGTCACCGTCACAGAACACATTCACCGTGAACTTCACCGCGTGCGGCTCTATGCAACTGAAGACGGAAGCACCGTGGCGACAAGATCTTATTCGCACCCCGAAGCCAACAGCTGCTTCATCTGCCCCTGCGATCTCGTCTTTTGTGAGCACTGTGACAACGACGCTCGCAAATGTCTCATCTGGAGCCCCCGGCCAGACGAACAGAACAAGTCGGAATCTGGCTCAGGCATCGTAGCGGCTGTCGAGATTTGTGCCACATCAGGTGCAACAGATCACATTATACACTCATGGAGCTGACTCTTGGGCATCTGCTGCATCAGCACCGAATGCCCAAACAGTTTCAAACAAAGGGGATGCAGCGCATCCAGTTGATAAACAATCCTCCGGGATGTCTCAAAAACCAAGGGGCATGTTAGGTACATCAACCCTGAGATCCGCCTTGCAAAAACAGGGTACCCCGTCATTTTGAGACACACCCGGAGATGAGAAGTCATCCGGGCAGAGGCTTCGCTGAAACCCACTCATGCCCGCGACGCTCCATCAAACCGTAAAAATTCCAACAAGGAGCTAAGCTGAATGGAGACCGATCCTTGAGTCTTCTGGGCACAACTTCCCTGTCAAGCTAGGAGTGCTACAGGCTAGCTGTAGCACGCTCCCGAGACCGCTTAAGGCCCGAAGGCACAACCAAACAAGCCTTAGTCCCTAAAGACCCTCTCAGAAATCAGCCTTCAACCCTCAAACCCCAGGTCCCAAACCTTGATTGACCCCAAAGAAAACCCCACCCTAAACCCTAAACCCAAGGCCCTAAACCCTATGTAGGCCTTGTAAAACACTTTTCGGCACCACTGATTGAGCTGCCTCGCAGCCTCGAGGACCTCATATACTAACAAAGGTTGTAGTTATAGCCATAGCAGCCGAGGGCTCAGGGTTGAGGGTACTCGTAAGCATTTCGTAACCCTTACCCTAAACCCTAAACCCTAAACCCTAACCCTAAACCCTTAGACCCTTAGCAAGGCCCTTGAAGAGCTGACTCGGGGTCTCCCCGGTTCTCGCCCTTTTTCAGGCGAAAGAGGCTCAGGTTGCAGTCCACTCTCGAAGTTCTCAGAAAGGAGTGCGGGTTGTGTGGGTCTAAAGAAGTAAGGTTCAGAGTTTTAAGGGTTTAGTTCGGGTTTCGGGCTTGGTTTTCACTTCCTTTGTGAGCACTGGGACAACGACCCTCGCAAATGTCTCATGTGGACGCCTTGGCCAGACGAACAGAACAAGTCGGAATCTGGCTCAAGCATCGTAGTGGCTGCCGAGATTTGTGCCACCAATAAGATCTGCAGCATCAGGTGCAACAGATCACGCTAAACACTCATGGCCACTCGTTGCAGGTGACTCTCGGGCATCTGCTGCATCAGCACCAATTGCCCAAATACTTTTCAAACTTAAACACGAGGAACAGGAACACAGCACATCCAGTTGATACACAGTCCGTCTCAAAACGCAAGGACATGTAGGGTACATCGATGATCTGGGGATCCGCCTTTGCAAAAAGCAGGGTGCCCTGTCATTTTGAGACACACTTGGAGATGAGAAGTCATCTGGGCCGAGGTTTCCTTGGAACCCGCTCATGCCCGCGACGCTCTTCCCTCACCTTCCAACAAGGAGCTGAGCTAAACGGTGAGCTTTTAAAGCTGCTGGGGCATAACTTCTCTCTGGCTTCAGAAGGTGCTAAAGCTGGAATAATTTGCCAGCCAGCTGAACTGATAGACCTCTTAAGGCCCTGGGCACACGAAGCGAGTCCCAATCCCTTAAACGTGATCTAAGCTCTCAGCCCTCAAATCCCCAACCTTAAACCCTAATGGAAAAGACGCTGCTGTCTGAAGCCCTTTTTACGCACGCTTACAGAACCCGTGGTGGCAGTCCTGACCTGCTTCCTCGCAGCCTCCAAGATATCAAACCCTAACAGAGCCATTTTAGAAATTATAGTTTAACTATGGCCGCAGTCAGAGTCGCAACCCTTAGGTTTTGGGTTTTAAGGGTCTTATGGTACCTCTTCCACAACTCTGAGCTACGCCCCAGCATTCTCCGCCTCTTTTCAGGCGGAAGAGGCTCGGGTTGCAGTCCACTCCACGGAGCGACGGCAACTTCCGAGTTTCTTCAACAAAAACGGTGGGTGTCGGCGGTATTGGGGTTTAGGGTTTTTTTTTGGGAGGTAGGGTTGTAAAGTGCATAGAGCTGATGATGTAGCGCCGAGGGTTCAGAGTTTAAGGTCGCAAGGCTTGAGGTTCAAACAATCCCAGTGATTCCGCTATCCCTTCTCGGGAGAGCATTCCTGATAAGAGATCGCCGGTCAGATTTATCGGAAACGTCCGGCATGCTCCAGTGCAACAGGTCTTCTGGTCCATGGGGTCCGTCCCTTCGCACCATTAGAAGTTGTCGCGGCGCGTCTCCACATGTTGCTGGAAGTGCTCAGGATATTCGGCCACGATGGCAAGGTACTTGTTGAGTTCCTGCACAGGAGTATCTAGGTCTCTGTCTGGAAGCTAAACCCCCCAAAACTAGTATGTCTCGGGTTGCAGAGTAAGTCGAACATTTGGCTTCACGGGCGCTTTGGAAAGACTTATTTGAGGAGGGCTGGTCAGCTAAGGTTTAGGAGGGTTTATGCCCAGGGCAAGTCTCTAAAAACATCCCTAGACTGCACTCCTTCACATGCCGCTCATGGCTGTCGCGATTTGGAGGTCGCGCCACTACTGAAACCTTCGGAAGCTCTGGTGCATGGTAATAAACTACAGCCCCGCTTCTTTCAGCGGAGGGCTGCAGACACTTTGCATCTTGACTTCCGGTACACCCCATCGCCCTTTGTCCGTCTCGAGCCTGAAAAATGGCTTTCGAGACCATGCAGCATCGCAAAAAGATCAACAAGCTGCTGGGTTCCAGGTCGCCTAGACCCCCCCTTTTTGCAATTGGAACTTGGAGCTAGGAGACATGCACTGTACTTTCCTACTTTCCTGGCTCCCACCTCGACAACCCGAATACTGCGGCACCGGCCCAAGCCCCTCGAATGGACTGCGACAGGCTTCAAACACGAGTGAGTGGCCTACACCCCTACAGCCCAAACCTCAACACTTTACCGGCTGGAATGAGCTTCGAGCAGCCATATGCAAGTTCAAGATGCGTAGGCGTCCCTGACACTTAAGCTCCCAAGCCCTCTGCAGAAGACGACGACCAAGCTACTGCTCAGGCACAAGGGAGCACACCACCACGACCAGCACCATCACTGTCACCAGCAGGGGCAGGGGCAGCAGCATCACGACCACTAGAGAGAATGACGACAATAACAACAAATACAAGACCGTCACCCTAAACCCTAAATCCCCTTGCTTTCCCGAACCATATCCCACCACCGAGATCCCTGGTTCCCTCCAATTGCGGACGCTCCAAAGGAACACCTGAAACCTTTCACGCGTTAGACGTCACATGCAGTGTACGATCTACTACTATATAAAAAACCCAGAAATGCATACATACATACATATATATATATACACATACACGTATGCATATGTATTTGTGTATGTGTATATGTACATATATATACATATTGATATTGCGAAACTTGCACAATCTATACTGCTAGCCACAAGTCGCCAAGCAGCACTCGAAGGCTGCGTAGGAACTGCTGCTGTCCGTCGCCGCCGCGATGAGGTGGTGACGACTTTCCCTCGTGTGATTCAGGGAAACATGTTGTTCTGAAACGTTCTTGTTTCAGGTCTCCAGTCCCTAAACCCTAAACCCTAAATCCTAAATCCCAAAACCCTACATACCAAATCGTGGGACTCTCTTCCCTTTCGACTCGAAGGTCGCATTGCTCATCGTCACACTGCCTTCTATCGAACCTGGGCACTTAATGTCCTTCCTCCTCGGCAGATGGGCTTAGGGTTTAGGGTTTAGACTTAGGGTTGAAGGTTAAAGCCGTGTTAGTAAGCCTTGAGTCCTTAAACCGCGAGACGCGATGTTGTGCCTCACGGAGAAGACTTTGGATGCTCCATCAAACCAGCGGTCCACGAAGAGCTTCCCCTGGTTCACCGTCCTCAGGCGAGGCAGGGTCAAGCTTTGTTTAGGGTTGAGGGTTCTCAAAACCCACCTGCCCTTCATAGGTGTCATAGAGCCCAACTTCGGCAAAAGGCAGCTTCTGTCCTTTAAAAGGCATCTGGGAAGCTCCAGCAAAAAGAACCCAAAGAGAGCAAACCGAATACGTCCAAAGTCCCGGGCCCTAAGCACAGAGTAGTTGTACTGCTGACCCCTGCCGGAGTAAGGATGCCGGCCCAGGCACTGGAATCGAGCCCAATTTGGGCTTCGCAGCAACGCCTCTTGCAGGGCCACGAAGCTCTGTGGCTGGCCTCATGTTAGGGTGAACAAGTTATCAGAAGGTTAACACGGCCAATCTTCCGCATTAAGGATGTGTTAGGGGCATCAGGCCCAGTGATGAGGACTCTGGAGCATCGTGACTACTGAGTGCAAGGCACCGCTTCAGCGAGATTTCAATGGCACAGGAACATGCCCGGAAGCTTTGAAGCTGTGCACAAATGACAATCTTAAACATCGAATGTTCTGAGTATGACAGCAAGTCATTCTTGCCGCGCCTAGCTCTCCACTGAAGCCTTGCGCAAAGTCCAGGAGGCCTCGCAGGGCACTTGTCGAAACGCTACACACTACGGGTTTTATTGTGGGTTTAGGGTTTTATAGGGTTTAGTCTCTAGACTCTCGCGACTCGGGCAACGCAGGCGAGGTTGGTCCATGTGGCCTCTGGTCCTCTTCTCCCAGAGTCCCAGAGCCATCTCCCAAAGATCAACCTTCGACTATCCTCATTGCAATAAGAAACCTCAACGGTTAACAGAGAATGGGATAGGCGAAGCTCTTCACGAGTCTGATGATTCCCGCCAAGGCGAAAGATAAAGGAGGCGGACATGTTTGTATGAGATAACCACAGAGGCCATCCACCTGGCGGGGAGCCTAAGTGAAACACACGGCTTTCATGGGTTTAGGGTGCTGTGTTTGACTACGCTCGAGTCAAACCCAATTCTCCAGCGCCCGATGTTTAGCAACCCCAACGCAGAGCTGCGAGTACGATGTTAGAACTGGCCTATTAGCCAGCTACAAGAAGCTATCCTCCAGTAGCAGGATGATCGGCAGGCTTAGAACTCAGGAACACCCTCGGGTCAGGCTCGATGTCCAGGGCTGGACACAGGGAGCATGCAAGTGCGTCCACAGCCAGGTGCAACGCCACCAGACAAGGGTTTGGACGGGAGAGCTTCCGAGTGGCTCGACGCTTGCAAGGGGCCTTCGAACACATCTTGCTGTTCCATAAGTGGTGGGGGGTACCCTCGGACCCTGAAGTCAAAAGGCGCCCTGCAAAGTCTGCCTCTGCAACTCCGTTTGAATTCCGTTTGAGGCTTGCTCCCTGAGACTCGCTTACACTTCCAACCTGGTCCACTGGTTTTGCGTGGCTGCCACAAAACTATCTCCCTAAACCCTAAACCGTTTCGTGCGCCTGCCGAGCTGATGACCTCACCGCCCTCTTCCATCAGCACGCGGCGAACGAAAGCCTGCAGCTCGACTGCTTACAAAACACTTGCAATCACGTCGCCGAACAATGATCCAACAAGGATGCCCTTTCCAAACTGAAATCCTAAGCACTTTGTCCAAGATCTGGTGTAGAGATCAGGCTGTACAACCCGAACTAGCCAGTTGGGTGTAGCATTCCTTAAGCCGGGTGTATACATATGGTAATGTATGCCTGGTTCGAGTTACCCCAAAAACAAACCCCTGCCCGACACACTTACAACAGCCCTTTGAAACCCTCGGCCCCTAAGCGCAGAATCCCAATCCTCACCCCAAAGGCCGTAAACTCGAAAAATCCCCAACCCCGAAGCACCTGAATCCTTGGTCCTAGCCCCTAAATCCAACACAACGCAGCCCAATTTCTGGAAACCCAGTAATCCTATCCTCTAGACTCTAGACCCCTAAAGCCTCGAACCTAACCCTTGAGCTTTAAACCCTAAGCCCTTTTGCAACTGGCCTGCTGCGACTCTAAAACCTAGAACCCTGAACCAGTACCTTTTTGCATCCCATGAGCTGCCATGGCAGGGCCACTCCGAAGGGAAGCCACGGCTTGATATCCCTCCTGGTGAGTCAGGGTTTTTGGGGCTTTAAGGGTTCAGGATTTCTGGGCTTTAAGGGGTTTAGGGTTTCGGGGGGAGGGGGGCCAGGATCAAGGGTTTTAGGTTGTTTCGGTTGGAGGTTTAGGGGTTCCGGTTCAGAAGAGCAGGTTCCTGGTCCAACTGCTTTTGGGTTTTTGGGGGGAGAAGCAAGGGGGTTAGAGCTCGGGGTTGCTTTTCCGAACCCTTGAACCCTCAACATGCCCTAAACCTGAAACCCCTGCATCCTCAAACCTACACCCTAAACCCCAACCACTAAAGCTGTTGGAGGGATTCTTAGGAGCCGAAGAGCCAGACTTTCTTTGACTCTAGGGTTTAGGGACCCTAAACCCTAAACCCAGGGTCCTCCTTGCAGATCCGGAGCCAAAAAGTCTACCCTAACCTCTGGAACCTTCCGGTTCCGAGTATGTTTTATCGGGCTTTGTGGTAGACTATACTAGGTTGAGGGTTTAGGGTTTTTTTTTAAAGGACATGTGCACTCACCTCACAGCTCCGCGCACCGGCCATGTCGCCCCTCCAAACTCAAATTACTGTACATCTCTCACTCAGCCAAACTGAAACTGTACACTCGGCATCACCCCAGAGGTAACACCACAGCATGTGTAGCTTTCACACCCTCTGCAGCAGCGAAGCAAGACACACTACCTACAGGCAAAACTATTCAGTGCTTCACTCACTCACCCCATCACATTTCACCCCGAAGTGTGGTTACGACCAGGACGTGGAAGTACAGCACGACGGGCTTCACGACCAGCAGGCACACTAGGGGCGTTACGTCCAGCTCCGCCACTGCGTCCACGGCCACTTCCGCGTACACCTTCAACAGGACGGCCAGCATCAACAGGAACATCCCGCACGTTAGATACTGCATCCCCGTCTGGACCACGGTCACGAAGGCGCTCAGAACGTGGCGGACTGCGGCTGCGCGCCGGACCACCGTGTAGTAGGGTTTAGGGGTTTAGTTAGGGTTTAGGGGTAGACTATTCTATACTTACAATATGTACAATAAGGAATCCTGAAGAACAGCTTTCGCAAGTGTTGAAGTTGAATTGATCAGGCCCCTATTTTTCACCCTTCTTATCTTCCTCGGCGGTTTCGCTCTAGCGCTCACACTCGGACAAACCAAGCGAGGCATGAATCCTTAGGTATGTATGGTGAAACATCTGCCAAATAATCTAAAACTAAGCTTCAGGGTTCATTATCGAAGAATACAAGTACCTGCGGTAGGGTCTGTTGTCCATGATGCGCTGTCAGTTGTTCAGAGGTGTTTGATTGTGTGAGCAAGAGCTCTGCAGGCTCTTTTAACCCCCAAGTTCCAAACCTCCAAGCTTTCGGCTGTTTTGCGCCTTGCCGCCATACGTTCTTTTTCACAAGGGGCTCGAATCCTCAAACTTCAAATCACCATCGAACTCTCGCAACCTACCAAAACAACAGAAGCCATCCTACAGAAACCCCGAAACCCTAAATCTCGAACTGCTCTTGCGCTCCTCCGTCAAAGGCTCGCTCATGCCCACCGTGGCATCCTGTGAAGGGATGGGACTTGAACGTCTTTTCACAGGGTTTATGAGGCTTCAAGAGCTCGGGGGGAAGTTGGAGTTGGGTTTAGGGTTCCTGGTTACTGTATGTGGTGATTTCTGTAGAATCAGGACGACCTTTTCTATTCTTGCTGCTTCGGGTCTCTGGGTATTAGATTGCCATACTTAGCCCACGTATCGCTTCAGCCGCAGAGGGTTTAGGGGTTTTGGGTTCACGGGCTTCTCCTCTTTGTCGCAAGGTTGGGTCGGGGTTTTGGGTTGCTGGCCCGGGGATTTGAGCGCCGACCCTCCAGCAAATGCCTATCGCCAAAGTCCAGAAGACCTCAAAGCCGGCTTCCCGGAGCGGTTCCTCGTTAAGCGAGGAGCTGGAGAACGATGCATCCTCAGATCCACAAAGCTGGGGTGCAGACCCTTTGCGACAATGCTGCAGGTGTTACTGGAGAAGCGGAGGTCTGAGTAAGTTCGGAAACCACCCTTCCGCCCTCATCCCACCAGCTTCCATCCCCACAGGACGCAACCAAACTTACTGGGCTGTATTGCATTACATCTTATGCTACACTGTATTATATCATATCACACTACACTACTTCTACTATACTATATATCATACTATAATACATTATAGCATTACATTCTATCATATCAGGAAGCCTTTGGCCAAGCCGCGCTCCTCCTGTCCGACAGGCCCTCTTGCCGCGCCAAGGCTTCGGTCTCCTGGTCATCCTGGATTTCTGGGCTTTTTGGATTTAAGATTTCTGTGGTTTTGAATTTTTTTTTCTGGGGGTTTTAAATTTGGGGTTTAGGATTTCTGGGTTTAGGGCCCTAAGAGTTCCCTAAGTTCAGGGCTGACGGAGTTTCACGCTGGAGCACTCCAGCCGAGGGCTGTTCTGTGTGAAGAGGTCAACCAACAGTAAGTCCTCGCTTCGGGATCTGGGTCAGTGCACAGATCTGGTTAAGTTTAGGGGTCCGAGGCTTAGTTCTTTGGAGGTTGCGGCCGATTCAGGGCCTTGGGGCTCAGGTTACGCTGTTGTACCGACTTTTAGAGTCTCCAGGCTGTTGCGGCACGGGGGCTCTCGCTGGGCCTCTGAGGCTGCTGGAGTATGCTTTTGAGACTGGGGTTGTAGAATGATGTCGGCTTGGGGGAAGCCCCCTAAACCCTGAACCGAGGCGTGGGAAAACGTAGACCGGAGGATTCTCCCGTCGACTCCTCCGATGCGGGCGCCTCGTCGTCACTGACCTTGGGCATCCGCGTGATAAGGGTTTAAGTTTAAGGTCTAGGGTCAAAATAATGTGAGGCATCGATACTTCTCAGCATTAGTAGAATTAGTCGGACTACTCTTGGAAGCCATCGAATCAACATTCCCCTGCCAACGGTCATGAAGATGGGTTTCGGCTTCTCTAATCTTCCTGGCCCTCGTGCTCTCCCTCGAGACCTGCCTGGTGTGGGCCCTTGGCCTTAACGCAAACTCTTAAGTCTCAGTAGCCCCGGGTAATGATCGACCCTAAGATGGAAGCCCTTACGCAGGGAGCTGAGCTCCCAGCAAGCCCGGGCTCATCCCTCCAGGTTTGTACATCAGTATCTGTTAACTGTGAAGACTTGCGAAACCTTTGTCAAGTCTGAAACTAAACTTATACTGCTGGCAGAGGCTCCAGAACCTCTGAAGCATCCAGCTACTCCAGAATGGATTCGATCACTATCGTTGCATGGTCTGATCTCTCTTGCCATATTGTACCATCTTGTGCAGCATGAGCTGTACCGGCCAGAAACCCCAACTGCCGAAGTATCACTTGTCGATAAACTCCAAGCCTGAAAATAAAGAACACGCCGGACTCCATGATAAAACACGCTTCTGCGACCCTTTTCAAAACTCGGCCAAGCACTGGTAAACCTTGAACCTGCACATCATCCCTGAACTAAACCTTGAACCTTCATATCAACCCTGAACTAAGTCGCGCCCCTATCCAAAACCATCGACGAACCCTAAACCCTAAACCCCCAAAAGCCTAAACCCTAAACCCTAAAAGGGGCCTGTACGGAGTCGGCGGTGTCCGTTCGCTGTCGCGGCCGTTGCTCGGGCGGGAGGAAGCGATGGGAGGCCTCATCCATTCAGCCCTTCGGTGGTTGGGTTCAGACTGTATGTGCAAGAAACGAATATGTATAAACTAACAAATCTAAGTAAATAAATTGTGTACATATATATATATACATATGCAGATGAAATTATGTACCTATCTATCCATCTCTCGATCTAGCGAACTAATCTACACACCTACCTACTAGGCTATTTATTTATCTATCTATCTATCTATCTGTCTGTCTGTCAGCTTGTCTGTCTCTGTCTATCTGTACACATGCACACATACACACAGCAGAGTGTACATGCAGTAGGTAAAGTACGCCTAAACCGAATACGGGTCAACTAGAATTTACATTCATGCTAGTCATCGTAATAGGTTAGAAGCACAAAAGGTCAAAGGCCGCACTAGAAGGCCAGATTCCGAGGTCCTCAAGTTTATCTGGTCAGGGTTTAGGGTTTCTGGGGCCCCTGCGAAATTATAAATTTTGGTGTTTCGGGGACGAGGGCTTGAAGCTTAGATTCTGGGTAGAATAGGGTTTAGGGTTTATGAGGGTTTAGGGTTTATGGCTTAATTATTCGGGTGAGGGCTTAGTTACTTTCGGTTTGCCCAAGCACTGAAGTTTGTGTGTTTGGGGTCCCACTAGGATCGGCGAAGCGGAATATCTGCCATGCGTGGCGGTGTGGTTTTTTAGAGTTCGGGCCGTGCACGCAGGCGAGCATGTCCTGCCCTATGATACAACATGTGCCTGTATATGAATGTGAAGGAAGGGAAAAGAGACGTGCACGCAAATGGTTGCAGTATGCTTGTGATACCCTAAACCCGGAAATTAACGTATGATCACGCCAAAGGGAAAGTCAGAGTGAACCATGAAAGACTCGGTTGCAGGAGTGGGCAACTTGTGTATGCTGAAATTTCGCAGATGCAGAGACTTTCATGGTGCCGAATCGAAGAATTCTGAAGAAAAACAGACCCCTTGCATACTACGCTATCCGAGCTGAGTGAAGAGGATGCCCACCCCAAAAGCCTACACTCTAACACCCTAAACCCCAAAAGCTCCGATGTACTAGAAAATCAATGTCACCGTCAACCCCGACGTCTTCCAAAGACTCTAACGCCCTTCGATTAAACTCTACTCTGAAGGATAGTAGGGACTTCAATAGGGGGCTCTACTGATCACAGTAGGGACTCTGCTATAATAGTAGGGACCTTTAAAAAAGGGACACTCACTACTGATGCGTTAGGGGGTATTGGAGTCGGGTGAATTCGGCATTCAACTACCTGGAAGTCAACATAGCCGAAGAGCTTTCACTGAATTGCCGACGTGTTACGAAACTCTAAAGGAGCTTGTCTACATCACGCGAGGCAAGCACATGGGGCTTCTGGGTGAAAGTAATAAGGGACCGGATTGCATAAGTTGTGTATGCTCCGCAACCCTATGAGAACAATGCTTCAGAATATTCTTAGCCCCACATCCGTGCCCAACACAGGTGCCTGCTCGGATAGCTCCGCCCAAGTCCTGTCGCCCCCGCCCTTCCGTTGATGGCTTAGGGTTACAGCAGTTTTGGTCTGGGCATGCTGCAAACCCCGCGGAAGAGGAACATTGACTTTGTCTAAGTGCAAATCGACGAAGGCGCAGTTCCATGATCGATTGGGCACCGTTCTTTGAATCTTGCATTCAACGACATCCAAAACCCCGTAAAACCCTGAATCCTAAATCCCAGGCTCGAAACCGAAAAGCCTTTACAACCCAAATCCCAAAACCGACGTCCGTCCGAAGTCCCACGAGCCGCAGGCCCGAAGTCCGCAGCGGCTCACACCCTTAGTCCGAAACCCGAATCAAGTTAAACACCAAATATTGCTGACTAAATATGAAATATTACATATTGTATTAATCTACCAATATATTCTATTCATGGTGGAGGTTGTTCTTCTCCGAAGTGCGGCGGGCCTGCGGGGTTTCCATTCGCCACGCTCAGGCAAACAAAACACCGGGTCGCAACCGTAAATCCGACAAGCGAACCCATGGAGCCGACGGCCCATGTTCTAAACCTAAAACCCTCCAAACCCTTGAACCGTGCAGTCAACCCCGAACCCCACAACCTCAAATCCCGCAATCCAAAACCGCAAAGCCCGAAACAAAGGCAACAGGACCTCAAGAGGACTTTTCTAAATCTTAAAAACACCCTCAAAACCCTAAACCCTAAACCTTGAACCCTACACCCTAAACCTTAAACCCTTAACCCCTCAAACGAAAGACCAGGGCCCGGCTCCTGCAGCCCCGGCCGTCACGAAGATCTCGGGCGAGCTCTGCCGAGATGTTTCGAAGGTCCAGACTGGAGGGCCTCAGACTTGGTTCTGTGGGCATGTCTGTGTTTGTACTCTTGGATTTTGTTGCCTAAACCCTAAACTGCTAAACTCCGTGTTTTTCCCCTGACTCAGGGTTTGGGGTGACTGGAAGGCGTCAGACTTGGTTGATTCTTTCGCCTTTGTTTCTGGTGGCGGGCCTTAGTACGCTTGGTTGGCCCCCTGAGGGCCCACAACCTGTAACCCTAAACACTAAGGCCAACTTTTTTTGACCTGTTGTTTTGAGCTCAGACTTCTTCAGGTTGGGGGGTTCAGGATTTCCATTGGCTTGCGTTTGGGGGAGGGTTCGAACACACAAGGCTTGCTGTTGAAGGCTCCTAAGTAGACACCGACCTGCTATAGCCCTTCTAACAAGCGATTTATGTGAGGAAGTAATTAGATGCACGCACATCGAAACCCGGCCCATAAGCCCTGAAATCGTTGAAACTTGTGCAATATACTGCCGATGATAAGCCTGCCTCGCAGGGTTGACGCCTTGGAAGGTTTGCAAGATCTAACGGGCAAAGAGCACATAGGGCAACCTAAACCCTAAGCCCTAAAAACCCTAAGCTTCCTAGAGCTAAACCTTAAGAGTCCCAAACCCAAGCTCTAAACGAAACCCAACCGGCTATTGAAACCTTGCTAAAGCTTCTAGTTCGAAGAGGATCCTGAGAGCCAGGCTTCAGTTGCTTCATGGACCTCAGAAGACAGGCTTTCTTCGGGTTCTGATAGGATTTAGGGTTTCGGTTTGGGGTTTAGGGTTTAAGGATTCAAGATGACTCAAACCAAGGCCCACCTTGGTGACACCCCATGCAGCCTCGCAAGAAAAATCCTGGCCTTTGAAGGATCAGCAGCAAGAAAAAGCAGCCCTCGAACCCTAAACCCTCAACCAAAACCCAAAAAACCCTAGTCGAACCAGGTTTCCGACTCTCACACTCGCTCGCAACCAGGCTTAGGGTTTAGGGCTTAGGATCCAATCTTTGCGGTTCAGCTTGGGCAAGCTGGTTTGTGAGGAGCCGCGTGCTGCGACTGACAGTCCGGAGAGGGACTACCGAGTGCCAGCAGGGTAGACTGAGATTCAGGGATTCGCATGTAGACTTCTGCGCATTTGCAGGATAGGAAATAAGATTGTTTCGGGATGACATCCTTCTGAGTTCGCAGCTTTGGCTGTTGCTGCTCTTGCTGCAGAAGGGCTCTCCTGCAGTGTGGCAGTGGCACGACCTCTCTCATGTAATATGGGTTTGAACTCCTTCTCCCGAGGCAATGCACAAGTGTGCCGCTGTGCTCTTGCACGTACGATCTCAAACGCACAGCCCCTCTCACAAGCAGCCTCCGGATTCTAATTGGAGGCTTGTGATGCAGCGTCGGTCCTGAGGCACAGGTGCAAAACGGTCGCAGTTTCATCGACGTCCTCGCGCTGGCCCAGCAACGCCTCCGATGAGGCAGCAGGGGACACAGTTCATCCAACAGGCCGCCCCAGTTTGGAAGAGGAGGGAAAAGGAGCGCGTCCACAAGCTTGTCTGAAATCCGACCCGTTCTAAGGGAAGCTTGCAAGAGTCTCCAATAAGGAGTCTTCCGCCATGTCTTTGTTAATTGCCGCAGAGCCGGGCGCGAATTCTCAGGCTGGATCGGGGAAGATGGTGGAAACAGGTTGTAGGGCACTCCAGGGCTTTTTCTTTCATTCTCGACAGAAACCCCCCTTGTTTGAGGCCCTGCTTTACGCTTTTGAGTCTGCGGTTCTGTGATGTGCCCGGCGCGAGACTCAACTATTCAATGAGATGCACCATGCCGGAGAGTGCCAGGGGCCTTAATTATCGGAACAGGGTTTTGGGGTGTATTATACTACAATTGTAGTGAGGAACAGTGCAGGTATTTATTAAGGCCCTTATATTACACCCTTTTCTCTGGGCTGGCACCGTCATCGAAATCCAAAATGCTCGTAAACCCCAAATCTAACCCCAAAACAGCCTAATCCCGGAACCCCGTGCACCCAAAACCTTTTTCCCCGGGTCACCTCGTATACCTGCTCCAGAGGTCTCTGGACCTCGTAGCCAGCTGCTAGCTTCAGGGCTCGAGGGCTCTAGGGTTTCGACTCTCACACTCGCACTCGGCAGCAAGGCCCCACATAGTTCGGTCTCCGCTGAAATGACTTAGACCCGATGCGCCACACTCGCAGGAGCCCGATAGGTATCTAAGCAATAGAACAGATAACAGGGAATTGGCCTGGTCTTTAGGGTTCAGGGCTTGGGGGTTAAGGGTTTGCAACAAGTTCTTCCCACTCTGACTCTAGAGTGGGGTCCCTTCTTGTGGTTGTGGGCCAGGATCCCTCATTTCGAGGTCCCTCCCTGGCAAAAAACCCAATGGACTGGGGCGGGTGTGCTTCGTGCCTTGACCTGACAGCTAAATGGTCAAGCTAAGCATGGCGAGTGTAGAGTGGAGCCCTCCACAAACGATCCAACCGAACCCCAAAACCCTAAAAAACCCTAAACCGCTCGGAAAGTCTGAATCTCGCCCGAAGAACTTCGAACATGGAAGCTGCTTGCACAGTATCTAAGGACCCTTCTCCAAGCATCTCCGAACCACAACCACAGCTACTGAAACCTTTAAAGCGGATGCTCAAGTTCTCCCGAGCACTGCCGTGGACCTCGACCCAGGGAAGTGTTGGCAACTCGTCCAGAAGTTTGTGCAGGCTGGGCAGGCGGACGCATCGGGCCACCTTGGTGGCAAGAACGCCGAGAACAACAACACACATGCACGGGGGCGGGGACGAGAAGACTTGGCATTTAAAGTTCCGCTTCCCTACACCCTGCGCAGCCCTTGAAAGGGCCGAACATCCCGAATGCCAACATCCATGCCAAAGCAGCAAAGGATGTAATATCTGCATCTGCTGCCGCAAGTCCACCAGCGCTCAGCCTTGGACAAGGCTCAAGCGACCCTTTGAACGGACTTAGCCCTAAGTGCCCTTTTACATACAAGCCTGCTCTTTCCTAAACGCCCTAGATCCTAAAACCCTAAACCGACTCCACGAGTGGGACTGCCTGCTGTTAGGATACAAGTAGGATCTAAATTTATAAAAGGCCAGCAACTTCGTGTAGATCATGAGGAAAATGCTTTGGGATGCGCAGTTCTTCAGTTACACCGTATGAATGCCACCAAAGTCTCTCGTTCTGGGCATCCTACTCCCGAGCAAACCCCAAGTGCACACAATGACTCCCGATCTTAAGGAAGTGAAAGAACCCTGCACCATTCAGGTACGAACGCCACTGTTTTTCAGGGCTAAAACAAAGTGAGATTTTCATGCGCTCAGGAAGCTCGTGTAGGATGTTAAAAGCTACAAAAAATCCATAAACGATCCACACACATCCGTCTCAGTAGTAGCACAGTCAGGGCACAAGGCTTTCAAGAAGGAGACCATCGTCAGAGGACCTGCGAAGGAACCATGCGACGGAGCTTGTTACGGGGTCTAGAGGTTAAAAGTAGGGCTCAGGCAAGCCATGCAGAATTTGGGTGTGGCGTGATTTCCCACCAGGAGCTTCACAAACAAGCCAGCTGCTGAGCCCGATGCTTGGCTTTTGCTTTAGGGATTTTAGGGTTTAGGGTTTGGGGCTGCTGCTTGGTGTTGGCCTAACAGCTTTGACACCGAAGCGCAAATGGAAGCTCGCTGCCGCCCAGCGTTGGTGAGGACCGGTTTGGGCTCTGGCACGATGCCTGGGGCATAGTGCAACAGGAACTTAGAGAGTCCCGAATGAAATGCTCGTCTAATCAAATGATGTCGTATCAGTACATACTACAAGCACATGTCAGATCAACATCCACTGAACATGCACATGACTGGGCGCACACACACACACACAGGCACACGTGCTTCCACACGGATGCACAGGCTCATGTATCACACGCACATATATAATAAGCATATCGTAGATGTATACAGACACCACAGGCTCCCAAGCCAGCAAGCAAGTGAGCAAACAAGCAAGCAAGCACACCCAAACAAGCGAACGAACAGCAAGACAAACAAATAAGCAACCAAACAAACACACTTACACCCATAACATGCATCCAGTTATCCCATCCATGCATGCATGTTTCGAAATGCAGCGCCGGAAGCAGATGAGTGCATGCCTGCACGCAACATCCATGTCACCACCGAAGCTTGCATTCCGCTCCAACGCGTACATGTGCCGTGGTGTGCAAAGGAACGCTGAGCACCAAAGTACTAAACTATGGAACAACCCAAATCCGACGTCTCGGACCCGGCATATGCACCCTGTTGGCATCACACATCATCATACTAGCATCCCGGAATCCAAGAATGGGACAGACTAACTGCCAACCTGCTCAGACATATCGAGCTGCAGCGTGCAAAGACTTCAGTGGTGACATTAGACTACACTGATTGAGGGATCTTTCAACAACAGCTGCTGAAGGAAGTGGTTAGTCGCAAGTTTTCAACCCTAAACTCCGGGCCCATGCCGGCAGGTCACGTTTTAAGATCAAAGCTTGGCGCAAAAGGCGGAGTGACTGGACCGAACCTGCACAGACAGGGCTCAAGGAAGCTTCGTGGCACAGTGTGAAGGATGAGCGCAAGTGTGAGCAGTCGCGTACAGAGTATCGGGTAAATAACAGCTTCGGAAGGTGTGTGCGTCGATTTACGAACATGGAAGTCACACGAGTACGGTCATCGAGTCATCGAATGGCATAGTGACAATGATCCTGCATATGTCAGCTGCACCATCCATGCTCTGATCCCGACAAGACCGACTGACAACGGATCTGGGTCATGAGCTCTGCATGCATCGGCTCGGACATGTTGAGGTAGTCTGTACGAACTTACGGAGTGGAGTCTTGTAAAGCCTTCTGATATCGGAACTCGCCGTGGGAGCACCTCGCCACCAGCTCTACCCCTCGTGCGGGGTCAAACTTACCCAGAAACCGAGGCTACCCGGAACTCCAGACTCAGCTTCCGTTCGAGATGGCTCCGGATTTCTGGCGTTTAGGCTGCAGGGTTTTGGGGTTCGAGGGCTGTAGGACTTTAAATGGATTGCTGGGCCTATGTTCAACCACCGAGCGGAGCCCCAACGTACTTACACCATAACCGCACAGACTCCCATGCACCCTACTGACAAATGTGCACATAGGATTGGGGCCATCGAGGGCTACTACCAGCGGCAGTAATCGGCAGTATACAACCTCACCCAAAACTTGTCAGCAGAAGCCAGCCGCCCTGCGCAAACTTTCCGCCGGCCTTCCCAGCCTTTGCATGCGAAAGGAAGTTCAGCTTCTCTCGGCCCGAAACCCCATCAGGTGCGGGGTATTCGGTGGGCGATGGCTTTGATATCCTACGGAAGAAAACCAGAAAAGGACAAGAGTACGCAAAGCTCGAAGAATACTGATATTGAACTGAGCCAACGAATGACAGCTATGTAGGTATAAATAAATGTACAGCAATCCAAGTCATTCTACCAAAAACCCCAGGCAAGAGCCTGAGAATTTCGACCCTTGCTGCTCCTCTGCTTTTTGGGACTTCGGATGTACCACGAGTCAGGAGCAGAAGCTCTAGAGTTTGGATTAGGGTTTAAGGTTTAGGGTTCAGCTTAGGATTTAGGGTTTAGTTTAGGGTTTTTCCCTCCCACTTAGCTTGTTTAGGGTTTAGGGTGGAGGGTTTAGGGTTTAGTGCGCAGGGTACGGAGTTCTGGCCTTCAGAGTTTAGGAACTACGATCTGCTTGTGGGGGTGCTGTCGCAGCCACGGCGGGCCTGCAGCTTCAACATTGAACCTTAAACCCAACAGACTCAAGCAGGACCTCAGGTGACCGCAGAAAGCTAGGCAAAATTAGGGCCTTCTTCATTCACGCTCAGGCCGGCGAAGTCCATCCGGAGAATCTACCAGTCAAGTAAACTAGTTTGCAGTTTCCAGTCTCGTCCGTTCCTGTGCCGAACACGACGTCAAAAGTTCAGGGATTTAGCGTTGACGGACAAGGCTCGTGTACTGTTCAGCTTCATGGATTCGCACCCCGAACTGTGTTGAGTTCAGGGTTTTGGTATCAGCTTCTGCACCAGGGACGAAGCGACTGATAGCCTTGGCTGTCCCTAAACCAAGCCCTGCTTGAACAAAACTCTCATCCAAGAGCACGGCCGAACTGCATGAGGAAGTCCTCGAGTGCAGACTTATCTGCGAAGCTTCCTTTCCTTAGCCATGGGTCGACATAACTGCAGGCAGCCCTCGCTAAATCCTAATCTAATCCAAAGGGGCAGAACCAAAGACAAGCCAGGCTGCATTTCTGAAGCCACTCGCTCGACGTACTCTTGCATTTCGTTCGGATCCTGCGCGACAATTAAAAACACCGTCTCCTCTGCTGACTAGATACGAGCCTGAGCGATTCAGGAGGTTTGCGGACGTAGTGCAGGGTCACGATATGCGGATTCTAGAGGAGTTCGTCTCATTTAGCTTTCAAGCTCCTGCATTCCCTCACGTCAGCATGCACATGCACGGCTCCTGCAGCAGGACCACTTCGTGGTATCCTCGTGCAGCATCGGATAACTTCAGGCCCAGACCCTAATTCCCCATAATAGGTACAGTAGTCACCATCTGAAATCCGAGCTGCTAACTAGACGTGTTCTTGGTCTAACTCGAGATTTCCATTTCCAGTAGCAGTCTCACGACTATTGCTGCTGATGCTGCTGTCACAACCCCCACTCCTCCTCCTGCTCCTCCGCCTCCTCCTGCATCTACTCCTCCTTCTCCTGCTCCTGCTCCTCCTCCTCCTCCTCCTCCTCCTTCTCCTACTACTGCTGCTACTCCTACTCCTGACTCCTCCTCCTGCTCCTCCTCCCACTACCGATAGTACTAGTACTAGTACTAGTACTAGTGCTCTATCAAAACTACCCCGACTACCACTACGACGACCAGTGCTACTCCTACTGTGCTACTCCTACTTACTACTCCTCCTCCTGCTGCAGCTGCTGCTCTGCAACAACAACAACGACTACGATGCTAGGAACATTGGTTGAGCATTTCGAGATCACCTTAAGGAGCCCACCCTTGTTACACTAGTACCAGAACGGAGGAACCACAGGAATCGGTAAAGATGGTAGCACAAGTCAGAGTACCAATACTTGTACTCGTATCAGCAAACATGGGAAGCCAAACAAGAACGCTACAAAACCTATGCGTGATATGTCAATAGTCGTCATGCAGGCCAGGTTGCCCTCTTCGCTAAGGGGCGCCGACTGGCCCGTCACTTCCTGACCTCTGCAAGCAGCCACTTGATAGGACTGTAAGTAAACGATAAAAATAGTGAGATGCAGCCCGACTTAAGGTATTTACCATCATTTGGAAAGTAGTTATCCATTGAAAGTCATTTGCAACCATGAAAATCCTGCAAAACTGGGTTCTTCACTGTAATCGACCCGACCAATGAGAAGCGACTTGAATTTGCTTTAGGCCTTGCACCACTGGTTAGTATATGACATCAGCTGCCTGACTGAATGATTCTTCCAGAAACAATTGACGAACTGTCGGAAGTAGCTAGGTGCTTGTCGCCTTCTCGGGAAGCTTGCAAACCCCAGCCTTCATCCAGCTTCAAAGGGCGTCCGGGGCCCACTTTCTCTGCCTGCATGCAGACGGTAGAACGATATGGGTGTAGCCATCCGGTGGATCAAATCTGTCAGCCTAGCCACATGTACAGAGCAATCACAGTCTAATTCAGGAAGCACAATGGTTGGACAACGGGTCTAGTGCGTCCTGCAAATTCGACAGCTATCGAGCTCCTCCAGAATCTAATGGTTGTGCCCACCCGGATCTCCACCGTCTCCCGAAATCGGTCAACTGCTGTTGTTGGAGAACCGAGCATCACCACAACCCTGCTAGTGATAGTGATACTACCACGAGAAATAAAGTGGTGCTACTAATATCTACACCAGTGCAAAACACAGCATTAGGCTTAGTCAGAGATAGACTTACGCTGCGCACCTCGTACATCTCCTTGCGTTGCGTCACGAGGTCCTCACAAGCTGTGATGGTTGTTCCACGAAGCAACGAGACTTGGCTTCTTGCATCCAAACCCCGCGCCTGCTGCTACTGCGACAACGACGAATCCAAGCCCCCTCATACCAAACGGGGGGTTGGATGTTCCGGCGAGTGTGTTTTTCATTCAGGTGGCATTTGATAAACGGGCGAAGAGACTGCTGCAAGTGGTGTTAGTGCACTGCTACTGCTAGCACTAGGATTCGCTCGCACTCGCACGAGTTCTAGTACCTGCTCTCGTACTAGTACCAGTACCAGTACCAGTACCAGCACCAGCACCAGCACCAGTACCAGTACCAGGACCAGGGCCACCACCGCCACCACCGCCACCACCACCACCACCACCGCCACCACCGCCGCCACCACCACCACCACCACCACCACCACAGCCTTCCTTCACCACTCGGTTTGTGGCCAAAACAGAGGGGTGAATGGAGCGCAGCCTTCCTTCTGAGAGGTTTGTGGCCAAAACAGAAGGGTGGTTACGCCCATTTTCCTGATTGTATCTCGCCTGTTTTCAGATTTTGTTTGTGTTGTCTTCTGGTTCTTGTTTCCCGATTCTGTTAAGTTTTCCGAACTTGTTTTTCCTGATTTCGCCCGTTGTTTTCCGATATCCTCTTCACTCCCACCACCACCACCACCACCACCGGCGCCACCACCACCACCACCGCCACCACCACCACCGGCGCCGCCACCACCACCACCACCGCCGCCGCCGCCGCTGCCACCACCCCCACCGCATCCACCACCACCACCGCCACCACCACCCCCGCCGCCACCGCCACCGCCGCCACCACCACCACCACCACCACTGCCACCGCCGCCACCACCACCACCACCACCACCGCCACCACCACCACCACCACCTCCACCGCCGCCGCCACCACCACCACGACTGGCCGGTGCCCCACCACTACCACTTCCACTACGACGACGACTGCTGCTACATTTGCAACGACGACTACTACAGAACCTACAACTACAAACGCAGACTTCCTTGGCCGAAGCAACGAATCAAACCAGCTGCAAGATCGGTCTCCTAAAAGATTCAGAAAGCTCAAACTCGTTGAACGTTTGTGTAACACTCTGACCGAAAACCCAGGAAGCCCCCGAGGCCCTGCACCCCAAACCCTCGCCCCCAAAGTACCTGCAGCATCAGTCGGCGATCGCGATCTGCTTTGCAACGAACCGGCCAATCGAAAGCACACCACGTTAAGGGCCTCGGGCTTGTCATGTTTGGTTGCAATCACCAATAACATCATTACCCGTAATGTGTATCAACATCTTTTCTTCAAGCACGACAAACTAAAGAAGTTTCAGAAGGGTCTTACTCGAGGAACACAGGGTGTGTTGGGTTTTAGTGCAAAGGATTTCTAGGGCTGCCTAGAGGGTAGAAGTCTCGGGATTTGTGATCGGAAGGTTGGGGGCTCGAAGGGCTTAGGATTTGGCTCTGGTTTGGGTAGGATTGAAGAAGTGGTTGCTAGGCGGTTCACGCTTGACATTGCGGATCTGCAGGACATGGGAGTTTCAGCAGAGGGGGGGACCCCGACATGGTACCCACACCGATGCAACAGCGGGCCATTCCTACCTTCACTCCCTGCAGTTTGCAGGTTTCTCTCTGTGGTTTGAGTCCCCAAGCCTGGTAACTTCATAAGACCGAGGTGAGAAGCCGGCATAGCTCAGGATTTCCCGCTACCAACTTTAGAGAATTGCCTTCTGCACTGCACAGTAGGCTAGGCTTTCACACGAACAGACCGTTGAAGGCCTTCCAGACCTAAGAAGGCCTATGTTGGCTGCCGAAAGATCCTGCATGACCCGTGCTGAGGAAAGTAAAGAAGGACAACAACCGAAAATGGGAACTCTCCAACGTATTATTGTTCACCTTTCACTATTTTAGGTTTTTGGGTACATCCTAGAAAGGACAAGCTCGGTCGTAAGGGCAAACTTGCCAAGCCATCTTCAAGGATCCTCCTCCAAAAAATCCCGGCAAAAGAGCACATAGGACGCTCCGTTCAACTCAGCTGCCTGAACGCCTCCTGCAACACTGCACGTACCTTCTTTAGCTTTCCTTGTACTGACCAACTCCCCCACGAAGGCCCAACTGAGAAACTTAGATCCTTTGCAGGCACGCCAGGAAAGCAATGATACTAAGAATTAGTGCTAGTTTGCGATTGTTGTTATTATTATTATTATTAGTATTCTGACTGTGCAATCAACACCACGGCCATCCCCGCCTAAACCCTAAACCGAAATCCTTGCCCTGAAACCCCGAAAGTGCAGCTGAAGCTCGGGAGAACCTCACAAGCCTGGCTTCCTGGCCGCTGCAAACAACAGGGTCCACTATGAAGCGGGGCTGGAGGGTATTCGCGGCAGGAATCGCGGAGTCCGGAGGCCCACTCGGTCGTCATGTCTTGGGGAGAAATGCGCTCCAAATCGGGACATCGCTGCCGAAGATGCCAAAGCGGGAGGCCCGTACAGTAGTCGAACAACACAGATGAAATATATATATATATATCTATCTATCTATCTATCATTGATGTAAAAGGTGATTATGGTCTAGGGTTTCAGGGCTCGGGGCTTCCGACGCTCACACTCTCAAAAGGCAAGCCACTCTGGCAGCCATTTTTGATCTTCTTTGTAAGTCGATTGTTGTTGCCGTCGTCGTCAATTACGGTGAGGTCTGTGGCCTCGTTCTGCCGTTCGTTTCTGATGCCCATATTCAAGTCTGGATCATGACATGTGATTAAATCTGCACCCAACTTCCTTCAGGTCCATAACGTCGAGCCTCACGATGGAACGGCGACAGATTCGGGAGCCGATGCGGCGGTCTCAGTGTTTAAACCCCTGAACAACTTCGGAAGCGGTTCCAGCATAGTCGCTGGATCTCATGAAAGAAACAATGCATCCCCATTACATCGTTTCACTTGCGCTACCACAGACACTCTGCATCATGAAATCAGCAAGTGGCTGCGACATTCCGTGAAACTCCAGGACCAGGTTTTGTGTGCCAAGGTATCCCTTCTTTAGCCGATTGGTTTTGAAGTGAGGAATCTCCACGGGAGCGGCGGGCAAGGTTTGAGATGTCGCCGGTTCACATGTCATGTCTGCCGCTCGGAAGCCGCATTGATTCAAATTGAATGCACCACGATACATAATCAGTGCGTGAACATACTCAAAATCTAGGTTCTTTTGATTCTACTGGAAGGGACGGCGAGTGTCCTCGGAACGTCACCGCCAGGGTCCGCGTGGGCGACCAGTTCTCCACACGGTATGGTGGTGGCTCGTCCTAGGTGGCATGGGGTTTGCAGAAAACACAGAGGGAGATTACCAGATCTGTTGCTTGAAATTTGGGATGTTTGATCCCGCGGCCAATCCAGCGACATTCTTTTAAGACAATTGCTGACCAACATCAGAATACCAGCTGCGTGCTTCCATACAACCTTGAGCTCGCTGCCAGCATCGAGACTCCTGAAACTCTATTGACTACTCGGATGGATGCAATGACGGCTGTAAGAAACCCAGCCTTCTGTGAACTAGTCGTCTGAGTTGTACAAATGTTGGCATCACAGGTGACAGTGGTGCCTAAAAATGAATCCCTCTACACTCCTCTTATGCCACCACCACTGGGTTGCTGTCTAACCCAACTCGGAGCCTTTGTGCAGCCCAGGCACACTGAGCATCATGAAGGCCGTGCTGTTCAAGACCTTCGAGTCAGCATGGCAGATTTTAGGACCAGAAGCCTCACAGCAACACCATACAATAGTACAATACATGACATATAGTAGTTGAACTACCAACAGGTGTCAAGGCAAAATACGTACTAGTACAATGCAACGCTAGGACGAACAAACTGCTGCGACGACGTATGATTCTGACAGACACATTATCACACTGAAAAGTTCGTGCGCGCATGTTTTTCGACGGGCACAGTCTGAGATTGGTGCTTAAGGTTCGGCTGCATGAAAGCACCTGGTCTTGCTTAGGGTGTAGCGGTTTCGGGTTTATGGCTTTAGAGTTGACAAAGGATGAGCCGGAAGAAGCCGCTCGACTTCAGTTGAAGTGAAGGTCACTTGACTAGCCGACAAGGGGTCAGAGCATGCAAGCACACAGCAACTTCGTATCAACATTCGTGTGTCTGTTTACTGGTGTCCGGATGAAGTTGTTTGTCCGATTCGCGAATCTTACTAGCATGGTGCTGCGCGATGCTTCTTCTTCTTGTTATCCTTGCATTTTGATTCTGTAATACTTTTAAATCACGACAATTACTTTACTGTCTGCTCTTCTTCTGCCAGGTTATTATCTTATCAAGCGGGTCGAACGATTTCGGGCCTGCACAGAGCAGCGGAGGAAATTCACCTGGCAAAATGCAAAGCTCGCACGTGCTTGGGGGGTCTAGGCTTTTGGGGTTAAGTGTTCGGGTTGTGGAATTTTCCAAAGTTGAGTGTGTCTGGGTGGAGGGGGAGGGAAACCTTGGTGAGTTCTCGCACTGGAACCCCTTGCAAATCGCACTGGAACCCCTTGCCAGGCTGAGCCACTGTGTTGCAAAGGTCCATTCCGGACTGAAATCAGGGTCTGGGCCAAAAGCAAGCGGTGATAGCCCTGTACTGCACTCACCTCTTCGCTCTAGCGTCTAGTGAGTCGAGAGCCGCTGCCGCTTCGCTCCCTCCGGATAGCAGAGGATGAAGCGGACGGAATTCTGGCTCAAGCGCCAGCATAGCTTGAGATCATCCGGCGCATGGCTCGAGGGGAGCCATAACAGTATCAGCACCCCTCTCATGCCGGGCTGCAGCTCTTTCTTTGCATCTGCAAGAAGACCTTTCAACACACGCTCAAGTTCGAGGCCTCCGATCCCTGGAGTGACTTCTTTCAAGTGCCACTGCAGCAGCGCCGCGGCACACCGGAGCAAAGGAATGTGCAGCTCTCCCTCAACTTCCACGACGCGGAACCTGCAAGACAACCGCAGCTGCACATGCATCATCCTCACGACATCATCTCGTTCCAATAGCTCACCTTGCTTCATCTCTTTATCTTTCTTGACGGCCTCTTCAAATTTCTCCGCCCACTGTCCAAGTCTGCATTTGTTGATGGGGTGCAGCGCACACAACTGTTTCCACGGCAGGCCGGTGAACCAGTCAGCGTCCAAGGATGCAAGCATCAGCATGGAACGCCAACGCTGACTCCTGCCGTCAACGTCACTCAATCTCAGCGAGTTTTGCAAGTTTCGAGAGAACATGGCGGGAAAGCTGCCGTCGACAGTGAACAAATCCATCCCTTTAACGGCTGCACGCTCATTCCAGCACAGGAGCATGACAGGAGGAGGCCTTTGAGGAACCTTCTGCGTGACGGAGTCCTTTGCTAGCTGCAGCCAGTGCTGGCAGAGGTCATGCTTCAGGCTCTTCATCCCAGGATCGAAGTTCTGGAGAAGTTCAAGGTGGAAGTGGGTCCACTTCTCTGCCATCGATGTGAGACGCCCAAAGATCTGCATGAACTCCCTAACCATGCCTTCGGGCACCTCTGGCCCGTTTTTATCTGACTGCAGAAGATCTAGCACCTCACCAGCTCTGACCTCGGGCTTGCCCGAAAAAGCCTTCAAAGTCCACTTAGCATGGAAGCCTTCCGATCTTGGATTGAAAGCTTCGGCTGCCATGGCTTTCAGAAACCTGCGGCAATCTCCGAAGTCATCGTAGAATGTAAGCACAAGCGACTCGCCGTTGTACTCCTTCAGATCGCAAGAGTTCTCGAGCGGAGTGGAAGGGTCACGCTTGGAAAAGGCACTGACTATGTTCAATCGCAGGCCCAGCGCATTCGCCACAGCGAGTTCTAGGTCCTTCAACATGGCATCCGAGGCCAGAGGTTGTCTGAGGCTGAAAAGCTTATCTCCACTGAGCAGTCCGAAATCAACCGTGCTCCCTTTCTCGTCCGTTGTGATGAAGGCCTGAATGGGCGTGCCTGCGAACCTTGCCACTATCCTTGAGGCAGCCCTGGAGAGATCCTTGGCCTCTGCCAAGTCCTGCCCGAATTGACGGTAGCCGGCGCCCTCATCGGTGAAACCAGTGTCGAGCGGGATCGACAGAGGCTGCATGGCTTTGCGGCTTTTCCCTCGCTGTCCAAGAGGAACTTAAGCCAAACTGAGTTTTGCGGGCTTTGGGGGTTGAAACGGATTGGGGTAGATAAAGCCTCAGCCTTGCAACCGGTGCCTTCTTGGAGTTCGGAGAAGGGTGTCCAGCTTCTGGACTTGTGCACTCGCCGGGCCGGATGAAGCCCCAAACCTTTCCCAAAGCAAAACGCGCCCAGCGCACCGAGGGCTCGTCTGCAGCAGTCCCGGATCGCAGGGAAATGACCGACTCGCAGGTGGAGTTCAGGCTAAGCCAGCCTTATCTCAAGGCGAGCTTAGGGTTCTGGTCGACCGAACACAGAGAAGCAAGTGATGGAGCCTGACTTACAATAAGTAAAAAGCTGCAAAAGGAAGGGAACCACTTGCTACTTGTTCAGTGCCTCTGCCACAAAAATGGCGATGAGATTGGTTCCGTGGCGGAGTAACATTTGTAAAGGTGCTCGCTGTTGACCTCCTTCGGGATAGAACTTTGCTGATGCTACCCGGGACGCTGGCGATGACTAGGTTCCCAAAGCAACATCCCCAGTACTGCTGCGGTTGTCGTCGATCGGCCACCATTGGATGGCGATTGCTGCGGTCACTCCTATTATGCCCTGTTTGTGTTGCTGATCCTTCTACCTGCATCTACTCGTCCTCCTGGTCCTGGACTACCGCCACTACTACTGCTACTACTACTACTACTACTATTACTACGTACTACTATTACTACTACTATTACTACTACTACTACTACTACTACTACTACTACCACTACCACGACTACCAC